GATCTTTGAGTGCCGTCTCCCGAGAAGCCTTCGCTGTGTCCTTGCACAGCCGTGCCGTGTTCTGTGAGGGATTAGACTCGGGCCCCGCACCCACGTGGGATGCCCGGAACAAGCTCCTGGTGCAGCTCGGCTCCATCCGACGTGGCCACCTGGGGTGCGAGGCAGCTGGCCGATCTCCGTCTTTCTCCTTGGAAGTCTGCCTTGCAAATAATAACAAATGCATAATGAGGTGTCCAACCATAGAGCTTCTTCAGATGGCCTTCACTGCTCTTCAGCGAATCACTCGAAGACGTGGGAGTGTGGGAGCTGGAGATGGATTATCAAGACCAAATCTGTGGATCTTTAGTGTAAAAAATGTGTGCGGCCATCACTTTGATCTTTATGGGTGTGAATCTGGCCAGCAAAAAATAATTCGGACCCGACGCAGTGGCCTAGTGACTAAAGTCTTCGCCTTGGACGCTCCGGGAACCTATATGGACACTGAGTCTAATCCAGGCAGCCCTCCTGCCCATTCAGCCCCCTGCTTGTGGCCTGGGAAAAGCAGTTAAGCACAGCCAAAACACTTGGGACCCTGCACCCGCGTGGGAGACCTGGAAGAGTCTCGGGGCTTCTGGCTTCAGATTGGATCATCTCCAGCCATTGCAGTCACTAGGGGAGAGAATCATCGGATGGAAGATATTTCTGTCACTCCTCCTCTCTCTATATATCTGACTTTGAAATAAAAATGAATTTCAAAAATATTTTAAAATTAATTGATTCATGCGTTTTCTCGTTATGTATTTTCCATAAACAGTTATGAAGCCAATCCAGGAAATGGATTTGAAATTGAGGTTACTCCAGTCTTGTGTTCTCTCTGAGTTCCGCGTCGCAGTAACCCTGACGTGTCCTCTCCCAGCTGCTCCTTGGTTTGGGAACGGATCACGTCCCTGCTCAGCAGAAGACACAGCTCATGGAGCGGGCAACTCCACCCCATCCCCCAGAATCTTCCGGAGAATTTGCCATGTCTTTTATTTATTTATTTATTTATTTTTTAAGATTTATTTTTATTTTCTTTATTGGAAAGGCGGATATACAGAGAGGAGAGACAGAGAGGAAGATCTTCCGTCCGATGATTCACTCCCCAAGTGAGCACAACGGCCGATGCTATGCCGATCCGAAACCAGGAGCCTCTTCAAGGCTTTGGGCCGTCCTCCACTGCTTTCCCAGGCCACAGGCAGGGAGCTGGATGGGAAGCGGGGCCGCCGGGATTAGAACTGGCGCCCATATGGGATCCCGGGCATGCAAGGCGAGGACCTTAACCACTGCGCCACCGCGCCGGGCCCTACAATGTCTTTTAAATGGTTTGGGACTATTGTGCATTTCTTTACAATCAGAACACGGGGTTGGAGTCACTCACATATGTGGCTGCCATATTTCATTCTCTCTCTGCATCTTGAGTGTCAATGGAACATTACATATGTAATAAGCAATGGTGTTTTAAGTTTGATGAACCGGGGTGTCTAAAAATCCATCGTGCGGCCAGCTTGGTCACTTTGCCGTGGAAGACCGCAGCTGCCCTGGGTCTGTGTCACTAACTCTCCCGACTGTGTTTATTACATAACTGCTACATACATGTAACACCTGACCACCCGAGGCAAGGATTAGCCACTAGGGTGTCGCACAGGTCCCACCCTATTTGTCTTCAGATGGCTTCCTCCGGTCAGCGTGGTGTCTTCAGGGTCAGTGTAGCATGTGTCAGAACTTCTGTCCTTGCTGAGTTGACACTGTCCCATCATGCACCTGTGCTCTATCCATTCACCCACCAGTGAGCACTGCGCATTCACGTTTGGCTATTGCGAATAATGCTGCTGTGAACACAGGTATGAGTAGGTGGGATTTGTTGCTGTTGTTCCTTTTTATTAGTAGTAAGTCAGTTATATCGAGAAGAGAACTGAGAGGAAGATCTCCCGTCTAATCATTCACTCCTGAAAACAGGCGCATGGCCAGAGCTGCGCCAATCTAATCCAGGAGCAAGGGGTCTCCTCCAGGTCCCCCACGCGGGTGCAGGGTCCCAAGGCTTTGGGCCGTCCTCCGCTGCTTTCCCAGAACACAGGCAGGGAGCTGCAAACGGGCCGCCTGAATTAGAACTGGCGCCCCTATGGGAACCTGGCATACACAAGGTGAGGACCTTAGTTGCTAGGCTACTGCACCAGGTCAGGTATGTGTTTGAAATTTAGCTTCTTTGACTCAGGGATGGCGCTGAATATTTGATCTCGTTTTTCCTTAAATCAGGAGTTCTCAATGCTCAGAACCAGTTCACCGTGAGCACATCCCTCTGTTAAATTACCACCAGCGGCTGAACAACCGGGACATTTGTAGATTGGGGATGCTGCCATGGTCCCATATACCTTCTCTTGCTGAAAACGTGTCTGTGTGAACATCTAAAATATTCTGAAAACCCTGTACCATGCAATGCTAGGTCAAGTCATTCTTTCGACCACAAGTTTTATTCCTTCTGAGAATCAGGTCGCAGGGTTTTACAAAATATAATGAAAATATTCATAAAACAAATCGGTGGGATAAAATATATCAGAGAGAGTGACACAGCACAACCCCAAAGTTCTCGCGAGAGGAAGGTGCGGTAATGGACATCTTGTCCAGGAAGGGCCAGAGCTGCTGACATGGCCTCGTTAAACTCACCGGGCCCTTCTCTCCCCTCGCCCCAGTCGCCCCAGTGCCATGATCCTAGGGGGAGGAATCCTGGGTGAACCAGGAGACCGAAGGGGAGTGGCTTCTGTTCTTCCCATAGCAGCACTCACCTTGCAGGTGGGGGCAAGGCAAACATAATGGCAGAGACCTGACAGACGCTGCTGTGTTGTCTGGTGAGTTCAGAAATTTCTTATTTGCCCTTCTCACATGTAAGTGGCAAAGACGGCTAGCAGCTTGACAATTTCAGCAGCTAATTTTCTCTGTATGATGAAGCTGCAAGACCTTCTTTAGGTTGTAATGCTTCCAAAATACAGGCAAATACAGATGATCAAAGAGGCAAAGTTAGGAGGAACCCATTGTATTGGAATAGAGCCAGAGATATCACCGGAAATGCATAGAGAAATTCTGCTCTGTGTCTTGGTACCTGAATGTAGCTTGGGAGACAGGAATGTCAAAGATACACACCTAAGCAGGTGTTTCAGGGGTGTGTGTGTGCGTGTGTGTGTTTCAGGGCTCCAACTGCAGTGACTCTCCACCAGCCATCACAACCCCACCACGCCCATCGGGATCTGACGCCACCCTGCCGTAAGAAGCTCCTTGGAGCAGAGACCGGCTCCAGCAGCGGAGTAGAGAAAGCCTAAGATGAGCCGGGGGATCTTGCAGCGTAGAAGTTCAAGAGCAGGTGCACACTGCAGAACTGCACGATGGAATCATGCCCACTGGAGTCGGGAGGCGCCAGTGAAGACCACCTCACCCCGCGACCTGTTCCCCAGCACCAGCCAGCTGTGCCGCACCGCGACCTGTTCCCCAGCACCAGCCAGCTGCGCCGCACCGCGATTCTCTCGTCTTGGAGAATGCTCACCGTGGCAACTTTTCATGAGAATTTTGGGCTTTTTCATGACACACCAATAAGATGCCGCACGTTCTTGTTTTGTGTACATTTTAATACATTTTACAAAACTTTGTGACTTCATTTCAGATTTAACCTATAATTTTTTATAAAGAGTAAATCTAACATAGACAGCATTACAAAACATGGACTTTCTGGATCTCTTCAGTGTGTGCTGCTCTGCCTGCACAGCACCTGAAGTGTTCGCGCGAAGGGCTGGCACAGTGGCACCCCAGGCTCGCCCTCAAGCTGCAGCACTGGCGTCCCATAGGGACATGAGTTTGTGTTGGTGGGCTGAGCAAGAGCCACCACAGGGATAGTTCACATCGATTGCATAAAGTTTCTGACATCGTATGATATCAGAAGATGCGATATTCCTCAAATTCGATTCAATCAACTTCAACCTGAGAATCCTACAAATGCTGGACTAGTATTTCTCAAACTGTCCATGTGTTTAAAAAAAAAAACAGCAAGAAAAGAACCCAGAGCAGAAAAGACTGGGAGACGAGCTGACTCAACACCCGGAGACGAGCTGACTCAACCCCCCGGGGGTGTCTTGGCTTGGGTCCTAAAAGAGGGGGAAAAAACCTGCTGAAATAGGTGAATTGTAGAATAAAGTCTGGTCATGACGCAATCGTTGCGTCCCCATACGGACTTCCCGGTTTGGACAAGTGTGTGATGCTTGATGCAAACGCGTGCAGGCTTCAGGTGAGAGATTTTTTGGAACTCTGTGTGGTAACTTCCAACATGTTCTGCAAATCTAACAGTGTTCCCAAGTACAAGCTCAGTGTTTTAAAATTACAATGTCACGTTACCTGAAGAGGACCACTTTAAATATTGTCTATATTCAAGTTTAAAATGGTTTCTTTTTTATTTTTGAAAGTGTCCATTTTGGTCCCTGGGTGGCTTAAAAATCAATGGAATTCCTCAGGATCAAAATGAAAACAGGCAGTTTGGCTCTTCCACTGCTCCAAGCTTCATGAAGCCAGACCCTTCTTGTTCAACAATCTATTCAATTCCAAGTTCAGGCACCTTTTGGGAAATTTCATTATCCCACATTGAAACTTGCACAATAGCAAATTTCCAGTATCCTTACATTATTTTAGGATATTGTAAGGAATCTTAACACATCCACAAGAACCATCAATAAACAACAATAGTGTGATTGTCCCTACATCTTTGTTTAAAGAATTAGTTATTTTTATTTTTATAAAGGCAGATTTACCAAGAGAAGGAAAGACATAGAGAGAAAGATATTCCATCCACTGGTTCACTCACAAATGGCCACAACAGTTGGAACTGAGCCAATCCAAGCTCAGCAGCCAGGAGTTTCTTCCAGATCTTCCAGGTGGGTACATGGTCCCAAGTCTTTCAGCATCTTATACCCCTTTCATAGGCCACAAGCAGGGAGCTGGATGGGGAGTTAGCCAGTACCCATATCAAGTTCCAGCACATTCAAGGTGAGTATGCAGCCAATGAGGTATCCAACAAGGCCCAAGTCCCTACATCTGAATTCCATAAGATATAACAGGCAATGGCCATTTCCTGTTTCACGATGGACCACTCTCCATATGTCTTGTTCATCCCTATCTCTGCCAGAAAATCTGCTGGTGATTATTCTTAAATCTCTTGAGATCTGAGCACATCAAAGCTGAACACGCTACAAGATAGACAAGTCATCTCTTTCTGCTGCAGCGAGGGGCTCATTGGCCTCGCTCACAGCAGACAGAGCAGAGCCTGGATGAGCTGCGCTCACGCCACAGGAGAACAAAGGGGCTAATCGTGGGAAAACACGAAGTAATAATTGCAGCGGTGTTCAGCAGCCATGAACTGGGCCTATCAAAGACAGCTATGTAGACAAAAATGATGGAGGAAAGGGCATAACACAGTACAAAGGTGCTCACCACGATGAGGATGCTTTGGGCGGCTCTGGTCTCAGCAGAGGGTCGTGGGGAGTGATGGTTCCTGTGAATGTGTTGGACCTGCTTCCTGTGCTTATACAGGATGAACACCATGCAGCTGCTGGCCCAGATCATGACTCCCAGACATGAAGCATCGTGGCAAGACGTGAATGTTGCAAATAATGAGTTCATCACCTTGTCATGAATGGCAGCACCACAAATCAATCGATACTTGTTCTGTGTGCTGTTCCGACTGCTGAGTTTGTCCAAAACATAAAGAGGAAAAGTGAGATTAACCAATACGTGGAGGGCCCAGCACAGGACGTTACAGGGGCCGACATACCTTGAGGCTTTTGTTTTCATCTCTGCCCACCTGGATTTCCTAGGGTTGATTATGACAACCTGGAAGACACTCAAGAGGCAGGTGCTCCCGATAGACACACCCCTGGCCACTCTGTGAACATACAAAACAATTATGCACGCAGAGTTGTCGTTGAGATGTTGCCAGTGAAGCATTTCCATGATCTTTGTCATGCCTCTAGAGAGGATGACCAAGCAGTTGGCCACAGTCAGGTGTCTGAGAATCAAATCTACAGGCCTCAGCCTGCACCTGCTGAAATAAAGGGACGTATAATGACACAGGAGAGAGACATTCCCCAGGACCCCAATGGCTATCTGCAATAGAAAGAATATCCCCACTCTCAAGTCCGTGGAGATCATTCTGTCTTTTTCCCAGAATCAATTGATCACATTCTTCAGCACAGGATTCTGCATGGAAACATGAGTTGTAGAAAATAGTTGCACAGAAAATAAAAATGGACCTCTACCACACTGGCCCTGATGATTAATCCCTGAGATATGGTTTTGTTCACAGATCTTCCAACCTTCTTGTATTTCTCTTTATATCATATGCGATCATGTCAACCACTAGCGGTGCTGATCTGCCTGCTCTAACATTTAGACTCACAGCTCTTTGCGTTCATTGCACGCTGTCCTCCTTCCAGCATCGAGAGTGAGACCACAGGGCGCTGCAGACTCGTCTCAATCCCAGCAGGCAGGATTTCAGCCTCGCGGAGTTGTCTGCAATGACACCGGTGCCCAGGGCAGGGCTATACCACAACGCTCTCGAATTTGAGGGAACCTATGTTGAGATGGAATGTTTCCTCTTTTTAACTTTTAATTGCACTTTTTCATGAACGTTTTGGAGTTCCTCCATGTCTGGGTGTGTACACACATGTGCACATACATACATGTGACCTGATCAAATTTATATATATTTCACAAATTTAGATTGATAATTTCCTGCTGGAGGGTAATCATACAGTCAGTATATCTACATAACTTGTGAAGGAAAATATAAGAATGGCCACTACAAAAATTAATCTGCAAAATTAGATTGTACACTAAAATCTAAGACATCAATCATGAGTAACACACAGCATTTTGGAGTAGAAACTCCATTAATTGTCCTTGCAGTTTATCTTAATACATTTCACTGTTTTGGAAAAAGAAAATGAAATAAACACGAATAACTCATTTGGAAAAACTATTGAAATGCAATAAGAATATGTAAAATAGAGTTGGGAGCCGTGGAGCCTGGCGCATCTAATCAACTGAACAGAGAGAAGCAGTGAGCTTGGGGATCACACTGAGATACTCCAACCTGAGATTATATTTAGGATTAATTCATTGTTTTAGAATTAAATTATAATGTAAAAATCAAGTCCTTGGTTATTTCCTCTCTAAAACACTCTCTTACGACGCCAATTTTTGTTGATTTCAGGATGGCCCTCCACGTACAGGAGAGGGACACACCCCACCGTGATTAACAGACCCCCATCATTTTCAGTAGAGACAATTCGATTGTGTCTCCACTAGGCACGCCACACTCCATTCACAGAAGTTGTCTTTCAGCCACCGCTGTTGGTCACACAGTCTCTGCTGAGAATGAAACCAAAGAGTTACCTGCAACACACTCAGCGTTCCGTGCACAAGTGTTAACAGAACTTCACTCCAAGAAACGGCTCGATGACTTTTACACGTTTTACTCAACATTAGATTAATACACAAAATTGAAACATTGAAACACATTCGAATTCAGCCTTGGTAGCACTTGGGTCAGACCCCTAGAATCCTGTTAATAACGGTTTTGCTCAGTTGCAGCAGCAGCAGTCACGTGCTCTAGGGTCCCAGACGCCCGTGTCCTCAGGCTCATCTCAGCCCTCAGAAATCAGCCCTCCTTCTGCCTCCGTGCTTTGGCCAGCCAGTTTCTACTCTGAAACAACTGATGTTCCAGACATCTGCACCTACCCACCTTCCTGACACACCTCTGCCTTGCAGACTGTGTCTCTCAGAGAAAGAAAATGCCAGGTCCCTCGTGCTGCCGGGTCTGCGGGCTCTGTGTGCGCAGGGAGAAAGCTAGAGTCCGAGATAAGTGTTTGTCATCCTGTGACCTCAGCTCCCCACAGACCTGCAATTGCCATCTCACTGGAGCCAGCTCACACCTGGGGAGCTGAGAGTCGTCTTTCCAGAATTGACTGGAGGATTCTCGTGCACATTTCCAGAGAGACTCCTCCTGGACAGAGGTGACGTATCTCTTTGGATTCTCTGTTCCCATGAGAATCCTTCTACCCTCAGTCTAATTCACTAATCGTTGCCAGACTCTGCCAAGCTGTCATTGTTCAGCTTGGGAGCCGGGGAATACAGTCACACGAATTACTCAAGGATTTCCAACTTGGTAGGTGAAAAGTCAACAACATGATGTTGATATGAGTTACTTGACAAATAAATAAATAAAGTTAGGAATTGATGTCTTTTCCTAACTTGAAAAAACTCATCATATTACGAATGATGAATGGCTAAAAATATTTCAGTTTATATCAGCGCTATTCACAACAGCCAAAATATGGAATCAACCAAGTGTGCGTCATCAGACCGACGGATGAAAGAATCAAGGGGTGCACACACGCACGGTGGAGCACGATGAACGCATGAAGACACGTGGGGTCTACACTCGCACCCCACAACCCTGTGAAGTCTCTTAAAGGGATTCTGCCATTGGCGACCGTACGAATGAACCTGTCTGACATCATAATGCGTGGCATCCAGCATGAACACAAACACTATGTGTTTCACTTCATATGTGAAAATCCAAAATCATAGAACTCCCGGAGGAAGAGAGAGGGGTGCCTGCTGGAGGCTGGAGTTGGGTGGAATGGGGTGATGTTGATAACACACGCAGTCACAGCTGAACAGAAGGGACACTGCCTGACATTTATTACACGGCATCGGGAACGCAGCATGTGTTAACCTGCTGGCAGGTGCAAGTGATTACACCACATAAAAGCGTTTGAGGTGATAGATACGTTAACTAGCCCTCTTCCAACCCTGCCCTACAAAGGATACTTCAAGATGTTCTCTTGTCAGAGAAAAGGAATAGCACCCAGCAAAACCAAAGGCAAATGAGAACATCGCAGTAAAATGACAACAGAAGACTAAACCAATGAACAACCCATTGCTAAAACGACAGGACCAAATTACCACCTATTTGTATTAACCCTGAATGTAAATAGCTTAAGCTCAATCAAACGTCATAGACTAGTAGACTGGATTAAAAAGCAAAACCCATCTATTTGTTGCCTACAAGAGACATAGTTCACCAACAAAAATCAGCGGAAACTATATCGCATGGGTTTTGATGCTTTCTGTTGGTTTAATCTCTTCAAAACACTTTATTCTGATTAAATTCTCCAATGATTCATAGATGATACAGTAGCATCATTTTCTTCAAGGAGGTTATCAATTTTCTTTTTCATTTCTTCAGCAACACATTATTCATTCAATAGCATAGTATTTAACTCCTTGGTGTTGTTAAATTTTTTTTTTCTGATGTTGATTATGTTTCGTTGCTTTTCATTTAACGGGAAGTATAGTACTCTGTAATGGAGACTCTCATATCTAGCAGCATGTAACTTACAAAGTGCAAGCTATCTCAGCATAAGTTCCTTCAAACTCAAGGTGCTTCGTCGTGGAGATCCAGGCACTCAGCCCACCCTCCTCCAGCAGTGAGCGCTGGGACTGTCGGCGCCAACGCATTCTGTCTGACACTAACAGAGGAAAATGGAGCAGCGTGGAAGATTTCTTCAGGCTAAGAACCAGGAAGAAAAAGCCATCCACTCTGCTCTTACGAGGATGGCTAGTGACTTCCTAGCGAAAGTCTAAAGTGACCTGTGTCGGAGAGGAGGAGGGACATGGCTATGGTCGGGAAAGACGACTGCCAGGGTGAAGCCAGGAGCTGGGACCAACATCTGGGTCTCCCTGTGGGTACAGGACCCACTTAGGCCAGCCCCCGCTGCCTTCCCGGGGAGCAGGATCGGAGGTGGAGCAGCTGGGACTTGAACCAGAGCCCATGTGGGAGCCTGGTACCTCGGGGCGGAGGCTTAACCTACTATGCTGTGGAGCCACACACCCGCCTGCCACACCATACATTCTTGTCTGTGAGAGCTCTGGCTAACTTCCGGAAACACCCTCGGGGTGAGCAGGCAAGATTCTTCTTGCATCCCCCGAAATAACTTGAGCAGCAGCCCCAACTGTCGCGGTCACTCTGCCATGCAGGTCCCCCTTAGCCCTGAATGGGCTGCCTCCTTCTGCCAGAGCTGCGCAGCCCTGTGCACTGCCCTCAGGATCCTGCTTGTTCCACGGGTTCGTGCCGGAAAACCATGTAATACAACAGCTTTTCAGCCCCCACGTGTGGCCGGCACCGCACACCACGGCGCCCCTGTGTCCTTCTGGGGCCTTTACCGCTTCTCTGGCGAGTCGTGGTACTGCGACCCGTCGTGATGGAGTGGGCACTGCACGTGGACTGATGGGTGTGGATTCCAGTGTCCAGGGAGCTGTGTGCCTCCCGCCGTGAGCTGTGCCAGCACCCGAGGGTGCCCGAAGACCATCCCTGGCACAGTGGACGCAGGTCTGAGTAGGTGCTGCCTGAGGGTGCTGGGCTGCAGGGCTGCTGGGCTGCAGGGCTGCAGGGCTGCAGGGCTGCAGGGCTCAGTCTGCAGGGCTGCTGGGCTCGGTCTGCAGGGCTGCTGGGCTGCTGGGCTGCAGGGCTGCAGGGCTGCAGGGCTGCAGGGCTCAGTCTGCAGGGCTGCAGGGCTGCTGGGCTCGGTCTGCAGGGCTGCTGGGCTGCTGGGCTGCAGGGCTGCAGGGCTGCTGGGCTCAGTCTGCAGGGCTGCTGGGCTGCTGGGCTGCTGGGCTGCTGGGCTGCAGGGCTGCTGGGCTCGGGCTGCAGGGCTGCTGGGCTCTGGCTGCAGGGCTCAGGCTGCAGGGCTGCTGGGCTCCAGGGCTGCAGGGCTGCTGGGCTGCTGGGCTCTCCTCAGCCCCACGTCCCAAGGCAATGTCGTCATTCCTCCAGGCAGATGGTCACTCTGCGTGCTTTCCGAGGTCAGGGGAGGATGATGGACTCACTCCAGAAGTCTCAGGTTGGATGTGCCCGAGGCCACTGCCCCAGACCAGACCACAGTGGATGGCCTCAGGCTGCCATGGGCAAGGCAGTTAAGGCATGCTCACGAAAGAAGAAATTTATTTAGATCGAATGTTGTATTTGAAATGCATAATTAGAGTCACAGCGAGAGATATTCCATCTGCGGGCTCACTGCCCAGTGGCTACAAAGGCCAGGGCTGGCCCGTAAATTCCCTGCTTTTATTGAGACCTGCTTTGTTTTTTTCTTGAATATTTTTAATTCTATTGAGCCTTGGAAAAGTTAATTTTTGGTTTGATTGTTTTTAGCCTTTAAATCGCTTATCTGTGAACTTACAGTCACCATTCCCTCCATTTTCCTTACATTCTATTTATGTTGTTCTTTTTCTAGTTTTGTTGTTGTGTTTTGTTTTTTTGAGGCGCAGATACCGGTATTGATCTGCGTTTGCGTGTTTAAACGCCGTGAGAGCCAAAAAATGGAGAAAGAGCACCACCTGCTGGCTAACTCCGCAACTACCGGCAAGGCCCAAAGTAAAACTTTTTTTTAAAAAAACTTTAACACTCATTTATAAGATAATTACAGAAGGAAGGAGAGAGAGACATCCATCTTGTATCTGCTGGTTCACTCCTTAAATGACCGCAATGGACAGGGCTGGATTGACCCGTGCCAGGAGCTTCCTCCACGTCTGCCTGGATTTTTTTCTTTTCTTTTTTGAAAGGCAGAATTTCATTAGTTCACTCCCCAAATGGCTACAATGGCCAGAGCTGAGCTGGTCCAAAGCCAGGAGCCAGCTTCTTTGTGTCCATGTGCATGCAAGCCCCATCCAACAAATAGTTTTATAAACCAAGAAAAGTTAAATAGAATAAATAAAAAGAACAAAGATAGTTTCGTTTTTTCAAAGTGACTTTCATTACAAGGTAAGGAAGAAAAGAACTACTGAAAAATAGTGCTTTTTCTGAGCTTACAATAACTTCTTGAAAAGATCAAAGGCAGAGTAAGCTCTACCATCGTAGCCACACAAAGTAGCTGGCAGAAGTTTGGCTGCTGTCTCTCTGGTTTCTGGACGCCAGTCGCCCGGAGCCAGGTGGGCGCAAACCCAGGTCCAGCACCCTGGTCCAGGTCCACACTGAGGTCCTCGCCACGCTCCGCCCCTCGCCCTCGCGGGCCACGCCCCTCGGCATGCCAGCCACGCCCCCTCGGCATGCCAGCCACGCCCCCTCCAGCCGTCTCCGAGGGCCCTTACCTCACAGGAGACCCCGCCCCTCGTTAGGCTCCGCCCCGGACACGCCCTTAGCCTCGCGGTCCCGCCCCCCGTCTTCCGGGGCCTGTCCCTACGCCCCGCCTCTGCCCCGCCCACCCACCCACCATCTCCGCCCAGACCCAAGCGCTTCCTAAGCCACGCCCCCTTCTCCCTCAAGCTCCACCCAGTCTCCGCCCCCACAGCCTCAGTCTCCGCCTACACCGCTCGCTCGGCTGCGCGCGCAGCTTCCTCCAGACCCGGAAGCAGATCGGCTGACGTGAAGGTCGCCCCGCGGCGCGTGAGTTTGGCTGTGTCCGTGTGTCCGTCTGTGAGTCCCTGGCTCCGCCGGCGTGGACGCCTCGAGTCCTGTCCCTGGCCGCGTCCGGCTCTCCTGGGGCCGGCGGGCCCTGCAGCCTCCCGCTGCCTGCAGGGAGCCGCTCTCCCAGCGCCGGACGGGGTCGGCCGACACCCCGACCTGCCCCACGGGGACGTGTGCTGCTCCGGCCCCTGAGGGTGTGTGAGCAGATGGGGACCCGGGGAAGACGCGGAGCCGCTGGGGATGGGGGGCTGAGACCGCGGGCGGGGGTCAGCTAGCACAGGGGACGCAGGTGGAAAGCGCCGCGGGCGAGGGCCCCGAGGGCAGGATGGGCTCAAACCCTGGCGGGTGGAGCAGTGTCCTGGGGGGCAAGGGGTGAAGGGGCAGCAGGGTCCTGGGGAGTAGGGAGCCAAGGGGCAGCAGGGCCCTGGGGGGCAGGGAGCCAAGGGGCAGCAGGGTCCTGGGGGGCAGGGAGTGAGTGAAGGGGCAGCAGGGTCCTGGGGAGTAGGGAGCCAAGGGGCAGCAGGGCCCTGGGGGGCAGGGAGCCAAGGGGCAGCAGGGTCCTGGGGGGCAGGGAGTGAGTGAAGGGGCAGCAGGGTCCTGGGGGGCAGCAAGGTTCTGGGGGGGAGTGAGTGAAGGGGCCGCAGGGTCCTGGGGGACAGGGAGCGAAGGGGCAGCTGGATCTTGGGCCTCAGAGAGCCAAGGGGCAGCTGGATCCTGGGGGGCAGGAGGCAGGAGCTTGCGGATGTTGGGGACAAAGACCGGGAATGGCCAGGGGCAAACCGAGTCGGGAGGATGGGGCGCAAGGAAGTGGAGGTACAACAGAAGGAAGCGGGGAGGAAACGGGCAGGAAGCTGCTCCAGCGGGAGCAGATCACAGGAAAGGGAGACAAAGCCGGCGCAGGGAGGAAGGAAGCGGAGCTGATTAGATGTGGAGGGCCCGGTTCTTTCTTTGTGTAATCTGGCAAATTGGTGAAAGCGCCTTCTGAGCCTCCTCCGGTCTGCCTTGTTGATGTCAGGGGAGGGTGCTCCTTGAGGACGGGGCTCGAGTCTGTGGCGGGAAGCCGTCTTCCCCTCTCCTGAGGTTGCGCAGGGTGTGGGGCTGTGTCTGAGGTGGCACTGGAGACCAGTGCTTTTGAGGTGCTCAGCGGACTCGGTGCTCCCCACCGTGCAGCGAGCCCCCTCCACGCCACCTGAGCGTTTGCCTTACGCGACACTTCTTGGTGATCACAGAGCTCGGAGAAACCCTTTGCGGGGTTCACACGGCTGTTCTGAAGGATGCTACAAAAGGAGGGGGTGCTTATCCAGGAGTGTGCTTCCTGCATCTGCTGTCAGGGATCTGATGCCGTCACCCTGTGGGGTGCTGGGCTGGACAGGGGCAGTGGGGGAGTGCGGCTTGGCCCTGTGCGAGCGCCGGGGTCTGGTGCTGCATCGTGGTGGACGTGCTGACAGACTCCTCCACCTGCTGCGGTCTGCACTCTTGGGGGGGAGGAGAGGAGAGGGGGGCGTCGGTTCCAAGATTCAAGCACCCCGTTTCCCTATTCAGGATCGACTTCTGGAGACCCATGTTGCCTGAGGAGGAAGGCCAGAAGAGGAGGAAGAGGGAAGAGAACGTGGCGGGGATGGCCCTGACCCAGGTGAGGTGACATTCCCGCGAGCCCGTGTCAGGGCGCCTGTCTCCCGTGTGACCCGCTGGCCCGCGGCCGTGCGTCCTCGCTCTCTCATCTCTGCTTGGCTTCTGTCTTCCACCCTTCTGCGTGGAGATACTGTGGTGTCACATGCAGTCCGCTGTCAGCCTGCTGCTTGTCACTGTCTGAACATGGGGTGCACCCATGATGGAGCAGAGACCGGCGTATTACAAAGGATGCACTTTTATATATGTATATTTATTTATTTTTATTACAAAGTCAGATATACAGAGAGAAGGAGAGACAGAGAATAAGATCTTCCATCCAATGATTCACTCCCCAAGTGACCGCAACAGCTGGTGCTGAGCCGATCTGAAGCCAGGAGCCAGGAACTTCCTCCAGGTCTCCCACACGGGTGCAGGGTCCCAAGGCTTTGGGCCGTCCTCAACTACTTTCCCAGGCCACAGTCAGGGAGCTGGATGGGAAGTGGAGCTGCCGGGATTAGAACCGGCACCCAATGGGATGCTGGTGCGCTCAAGGCAAGGACTTCAGCCACTAGGCCACCGTGCCGTGTTCTCGTTTCATCGACTTCTGCACTTTTGTTTTAGGAGTGATTGATCGACTTGAAGGGCAGAGCCGCAGAGGTCTGCGCTCACTGGTTCACTCCCCGAAAGGGCGCCGTGCTGGGCCTGGGCCGGGCGGAGCCAGCAGCTTCCTGCAGGTCTCCCACGTGGGCACAGGGGCCCACAAGCAGGGAGCTGGAGGGAAATGGAGCAGCCAAGGCTCAAACCGGTGCCCACGTGAGATGCCCCCCACTGCAGGCCATGGCCTACCCGGCTGTGCCGCAGCTCTGCCCACCCCCTTTTGAAGGGGTTTTTAGTTTGGAAGGCAGTTGTGTTTTAAACGGTGGTCATCCTGCTGTGGGTTTGCACGTTATTCTCCGACGCCTCACGTCTGCTTGTTTGCTGACGTGCCGTGTCTTGCTCTGTAAGGCCTCGCTGAGTGGCAGCGTTTTGTTTAGGCGAGATACTTGGCTCACTCACTGGCTTGAATCCGTCTCTCCTGTTCGTTTCTCTGTAAATGTCGCTGTTTGGCGCATCGGGAAGTCTCAGGTGATGCGTCGGGAGGCGTGAAAGCCCGCTGCCCGGGTCTGCACGCGCCGTGCCCGTCCTTCGGTGCGCGTCGGCTCCTGGCTGCGCGGCGCTGCTCCAGCTGGCACCCTTCATGCCCGGCTTTCTCGGATGCCACGTCCCAGCAGCCACTCCCAGCCTCCGGCGTGACTCGCCGTCTGTCGCTGTGGGTCTTGTGGATTCTGTCAGCTGTATTTTCTGTCTGTCCCCGTCTGTGTGGCGCCCTGTCGCACTCGGGTCTGTTGAACCGCCGCGCCGTGTTGTCCGTCAGTGTGCCGGGAAGCTTGTTGGCCAGCGTGTTGTCGAGTTTTCCGTCGGTGCCAGAGAACGTGCTAGTTCTGCGGTTTCCTTGAGGTTGGCATGAGAATGGTGATGGGTCCCCGAATGTTTTCGCTGTCCCCGCCTCAGTGCATTGCGCGAGCTGGAGGAGGATTGGTGTAAATTGTCGCTCCCGCCCCGTCCGCAGGGCTGATTTTCCCTCGGCTTCGGTTAGTTCCTTGGGCATTTGTTCTGCGAATGATTTGTTGGTTTAAAAGAAAAAGTCAGCAAGTTTTACTAGACTTCATAAAAAAGTTTCTTGGGTAGAAAATGAAAGAAACCATGAGCCATAACTTATCCAAATGTTTTTAACATGTTTCCCCCGTGTTCTGCAGCAGCTGTTGCACCGTGCCCTGGCTGGGTGTCAGCCAACACCAGAGCCACCTCTGGTTCTGGAGGGAGTGACAGCCACACAGCCCAGGTGCCCCATTCGACCCTCACGTGCCTGTTGGGGCACAGGCGGTAGCCATGCCTTCCCTTACCTACTTGCTAGAGAACCTGGCAGAGGGCACAGGTGAACAGCCGGATGGAGCAGAAGCACAGGGTCAGGCATGAGGCTGGCACGGGGCACCATGCCCTTTGGGACAGCACGGGGTCAGGCGTGAGGCTGGCATGGGGCACCATGCCCTTCCTGCGAGCAAGCCCCTAAGACGTTTTCTACCCTGGCCCTTTGGGGTTTTGTGACAGTCTCATTTCTTAGGCATGATGGATTGCATTAGTCGCTTTGGTGATCGGCTTCTTGGAAAGTTTAGAAATGTGAGGCTGAAAGTCCCAACCCTTGAGTACTGCCGGGAACTTTCTGGTAACTTGCCCCAGCCTGGAGCTTCTCCCTAGCACCACGGAGATCTCCTGTCAGAGGCACATGTCTCTAAGCTTTAACATCGGTAGAGCTTTTGTATAATTCAGAGTGAATTTGGCCTGCTGGCCGCTCAGGCTTATCCTTGAAGTCCTCTCTTCATGACTCCGTGGTAACGCCTGTCTTTCCTCGTAGGGACGGGTGACGTTCGGGGACGTGGCGGTGGAGTTCTCCCAGGAGGAGTGGAAGTGCCTGGACCCCGCTCAGAGGGCCCTGTACCGGGACGTGATGCTGGAGAACTACAGGAACCTGCTGTCCCTGGGTGAGGACACCCGCCGGACGCTAGGGGCGCCCTTGGGCTCTGCCTTGTCCCTGTGTGCTGCCTGGCAGGCGCTGCCGTGCGGGGTGCACACCCTTGGGGACCCCTGGTTAAGGAGGGGAGGGTCTGGGCTGGAGGACGGTGGCTGGGACACGTGTTTGCATTTTTTTCTCTTTGTTTTTGTTTTCCTCCTGTTTACACAGGTGAGGGCGGGGACGGGGCCCTCTCCTTGCTGTCAAATTCCGTTAGCAGCTGGGGGTGGAGGGACGGTCACTTGAAGCCGATGTGGGGAAGAGGGTTGTGATAGGGTGACTTGAGTGGTTTTGATAGTTCTGAGACATTGTTGGTTTCATTGCTTCAGGGTTGAAAAGACCTTTTCCAAGGTGCGTTGGTCGAGAGGCCCCCTTGGTCCAGCCACGGGCCCAGGAACATCCTGAAAGGTTCCAGCCTGTGCTGCTTCGCCTGACGAGGCGGCCAGCATCCCCTGTTGACCCAGATGAGCTGACTGTCATGTCCCCTGTGCGGCTGGGTGTTCTGCTCATGCACAGGGGTCAGCAGTGGAGGAGGCTCAGTACCACGTGCACCCCGAGGTCGGATCGCGCGGCCTGGGGGTTTGTTTTCTAACTATGGCCAGGGTCTGAGTCCAGCAGTCCATCTGGGGAGTCCTCCAAGAAACCTCATCTGGAGTAACCCCCGGCTTGACTTGTGTGTGCCCGGCAGTGCAGGGTCAGATTTGGTCTGTCACCTGCGCTGGCCAGTGCACGTGGGCTCTGTGGCTTAGCTCAGCCTTGGCTGCCCTCAGCCCCTCTCCTCACATTGCTGGCAGATCTCGCCACCTTGTCCAGCCAGGCCCACCCCCAGCCCTGTTTCTTGTGCTCATCAGCAGGAGGGTCAGCCTGGCACAGGAGTGCCAGAGTTTCCCTGTGGCCTAGCAGGAAGTACCCACGGTTCCCCCACCATGCCCACTCCCAGCAGTGGGTCCTCGCATGTGCTAGCTGGCGCCTGCCTCCCAGACTGACATGGCTGGGCCAGCCTGGCCCACCCCCAGACCAGCTCATGGGACTCGGCAAGTGCCTCAGCCTAGCCTGGCCTGTCCCACTCCTATTCTGGCTCTCAAGAGCCCCAGTGAGAGCTAGAGCCTAACCCTCACTCCAGATCCGGCCTGTACGCATGCCAGTAGGTGCTGCACCCTTGGCCCCAGCCCTGGCTGTGATACATTGCCAGTAGGTGCTGCACCCTTGCCCAGGCTGACCCGCCCCCAGCCCTGGCTGTTGCAATCCCCAGTGGGACTGTAGCCCATCGGGGAGATCCCCAGAGTTCCACCACCAGGCCCAGTCCTGGCCTTGGCATGTGCTGGAGAGTACTATAGTCTGGTCTGCCCGGCCTCCCAGCCCCAACTCCAGCAAGGGTCACGTGGATTGCTGTCGGATAAGTCCTGTGGTCCAGCTTGGCGTGGCCTGTCACTACCCCCGACTCTCCATGCATACCATCAGGAGCTGCAGGCTTGGCCTGTCACCACCCCCGGCTCTCCATGCATACCATCAGGAGCTGCAGGCTTGGCCTGTCACCACCTCGGCTCTCCATGCATACCATCAGGAGCTGCAGGCTTGGCTTGTCCCCACCCCCAGTCCTCCATGTATACCATGAGGTACTGCCGTCCTGCAGAGGCAAGCCCACAGTTCTCTACAGAACCTTCCCCCAGATCTGGTTCTTTGGCATTCTGGTGGGTACTGCAGGCGCACCCCCATTCTGCACTCATGGGCGGTACTGTGGTCTAGCCCCTCCAGACCTGCCCTCAGCCCCAGCTTTAGTACGCTGCAGCAGGAGGCAGCGATGCTCTTTAGCCCGGCCCACGTCTCCCTTGTGGATGGATGTCTTGGCCTGAGCCAGTCAAGTCCTCTGGTAACCCCACAAAAACCACTGCATCGCACTCCCCCACTTTCCTGTGGGTGCAGTCTGTGGAATCCTCCAGAAGTCATTCCTCCCCGTTAGACATGTCCTCAGCCACTCCCACGCCAACAAGTCCTAGACCCCATCTCCCACTGCCAGCCGCAGCCGCTGCATGGGGGCCAGGGTGGCATGCTCTCAGCCGCTGCATGGGGGCCAGGGTGGCATGCTCGCAGCTGCTGCATGGGGGCCAGGGTGGCATGCTCGCAGCCGCTGCATGGGGGCCAGGGTGGCATGCTCGCAGCCACTGCATGGGGGCCAGGGTGGCATGCTCGCAGCCACTGCATGGGGGCCAGGGTGGCATGCTCGCAGCCACTGCATGGGGGCCAGGGTGACATGCTCCAGCCCAGTGGGCCCTGTCTTCCCCACGTTGTCCTTTAAAAAAACTAGAAAAGAAAGAAGGAAAAACAGCTCTGCTGGCATCCTGGTATAGTTCACACGATTTTAGCATTAAGCAGGCCCAGGAAGCTTTTCTCCCGGCAGTGGAACACTTGCCTAGGTACAAGGCAACCTGGGCAGTTACCTACAACTGGGCTTGTGTTTTGAAGATTGATTGATTGGCTAGGCAGAGTTACAGAGAGAGAGTGAGCGGTATCTCCCAGCCGCTGGTTCACTCCGCGGACGGCTCAAGTGGCCTGCTTGGAGCCTGCCTGCGGGCTCCCTGTGGGTCTCTGAAGTGGGTGCAGGGCCCGGGCACTTGAGCCACTTCAGCTCTGCCTGCCTGTCAGGTGCATTGAATGGTAATGCCGAAAACCTCGTAGCGGACTCCAGCATAGCTGCTTCGGCACTTCAGTCCCCGTGCTTTTGGTTCTGCTTCATAGAACTAAATGTGTGTTACAGTGTTCGTGACCATTGAGAAGAACAGTCTAGGTGGCTGTGGACTCTCCTCCCCTGGACAGGAGATGGGGATTCTAGAAGCCCACAGCACATTGGAGCCTTTTCTTTGTCTAAACAGGAACCTGTCCTGACCTGAGCGTTCTCTCAGTTTTGGAGCAAGGCAAAGCGCCCTGGGCCGTGGAGAGCCTGGTGAGGATGGCGAGGAGGCCGGAGAGCCTGGTGAAGGTGGCGAGGAGGCCGGAGAGCCTGGTGAAGGTGGCGAGGAGGCCGGAGAGGTGGAAGCGTGGCGGCAGTGTGACGCCAGGTGAGCGCTCACGTGGCAGAGGACCAGTCCCGTTCTGGAAAATTCTCTGCCAGTGAGCAAGTTCCGGGACAGAACAAGTGCGTGTGCTGGGAGTTCTCAAAGGAAAGTTTCCATTTTTGCACTTGCTTTGTTTTTCCGAGATTTAAAGCACAGCCCTCCGTGCTCTGGTATTGCCCGAGTGTGGCATCGTTAGGGTGAACATAGTATTGTTTGTCCACCTGAGTTTCATGTCTTTTTTTTTTTTTTTTTTTCAAGATATATTTTATTTATTTGAAAAGTAGAGTTAGAGACAGACAGCATGCAATATCATACAGCAGTATGTCATCAGTGACACGTAGCATCTGAGTCAGTTGAGTTAGCCCAGCACAGTAGCCTAGCAGTAGCCTTGCACGCACTGGGATCCCATATGGGCGCCAGTTCTAATCCCAGTGGCCCTGCTTCCCATCCAGCTCCCTGCTTGTGGCCTGGGAAAGCAGCAGGGGACGGCCCAAAGCCTTGGGACCCTGCACCCATGTGGGAGACCTGGAAGACACTCCAGGCTCCTGGTTTCGAATAGGCTCAACTCCAGCCATTGCGCTCACTTGGGGAGTGAATTAGCGGACAGAAGATCTTCCTCTCTGTCTCTCCTCCTCTCTGTATATCTGACTTTCAAATAAAAATAGAAGCAGCGTGTGGCCTGGGTGAATGGGGTGTCGGAATCCATCCAGCAGGACCGCTGGGCCAGCAGAGGCCTGTGGGATCCTGCTGAGAAGAGGCTGCAGGGAGGAGAGGGCGGGCCTCCCCCCGGGCGCGCTCTTGCCCAGCGAGTCCTTGGCTGGACTTTCTGCTCTCCTGGCTGACAGGCGGGCATCTGTGCTGGCTGGTAAGGTAAGCAAGGGCGACGGCACTCCTTGCCCGTCCCCGGTTCAGCGGTGCTTGAGGCCAGCCGCCTCGTTAGCCTCCTTGAACTCTGCTCCGACACGTAATCTAATTCTAGTTGGGTGTGAACTATCGTTTTAAGTGTATAAGAATTGGAACCCTCAAAATAAACATGGTCATTTGCTGAAAAGAGCACTGTCCCCCTGTTTCTTTTCGGTTGCATCTCCTCCCCAGGAAGCTGCGAGGTAAACTTGCAGTGGGATAATTTGGGTTTTGGGCATTGCACACCTAGTTTTAAACATCAGTAGTAGCTGACATGTCATTGAGGTATGATGAGCTTGAGTCCATTACTCCACATATGTACGTTATCATCCCACTGTGCCCATGAATAGATGGCACTTCAGCATTTGTTTTATACAGTATGCTTTAATTGGACATAGTATTCTGGCACGAAATGTGGGTTTCTGTTGGCGGTTAACCGGAGCCTGCGTTGCTGTCTTGCAGGTATTTCTCCTAAATGTGCGGTCAGGGAAGGAGCTTCGTCCCCAGGGCACAGCGGTGTGGGGAAGGCAGCCCAGACACTGTGTTTGGAGAGCAGTGAGAGCAAAGACTTTTCCCCCAGAGAAGTCCATAAAAATAAAAATGACTTTGAATTTCAATGGACTGGTGATGAAGGAAATTTGGAAGACTTGCTTGTGATTCATAAAGAAAGTCTCGTTGCTGGAAGAGGTGAGCGTGGCAGAGATGAGAGAGACGGTGCTGAGCAAAGCGGCCTCTGCTCGGGCCCGCCGGCACCCGCGCCCTCCGAGGGCGACGGCGGGGACTGTGGGTGCGTGGCGCAGGCCCTCCGCGGCTTGCCCTTGGGCTCTCCACCTCAGCCAGTCCCTGCTCGTGTGAAAACTCACATTGCTGATGACTATGGGAATGACTTCATCTATGCGTTACTAACACAGGAGCAGAAAGCGCACGTGAGGGAAAAGCCTTACAGGTGCGAGGAGTGTGGCAAGATCTTCAGTTACACGTCGTCCCTGGCGCATCACCGCAGGATCCACACGGGGGAGAAGCCGTACAGGTGCGCCGAGTGCGGCAAGGCGTTCTTCAGGCGCTCTTACCTCCTGGTTCACGAGAGGCATCACACCGGAGTGAAGCCCTACAAGTGTAATGACTGTGGCAAAGTCTTCACGCAAAATTCCCACCTTATAAGTCATCGGAGAATTCACACTGGAGAAAAGCCATACAAGTGTAACGAGTGCGGCAAAGCCTTCAGCATCCGTTCCAATCTAACTAATCACCAGGTCATCCACACCGGGGAGAAGCCCTACAAGTGCAGCGAGTGCGGCAAGGTCTTCAGTCAGACGTCCAGCCTGGCGATTCACCGGAGAACCCACACCGGGGAGAAGCCCTACAAGTGCAGCGAGTGCGGCAAGGTCTTCAGTTCACACTCCAACTTGAACACCCACCAGATCATCCACCGCGGAGAAAAGCCCTACAAGTGTTACGAGTGTGGCAAGGTGTTCACTCAGAACTCGCACCTCGCGAATCACAGGAGAATCCACACGGGGGAGAAGCCCTACAAGTGCAGCGAGTGCGGCAAGGCCTTCAGTGTGTATTCAAGTCTGACCACCCACCAGGCCATCCACACCGGGGAGAAGCCGTACAAGTGCAACGAGTGCGGCAAGGTCTTCACCCAGAACTCGCACCTGGCCAGCCACCGGGGGATCCACACCGGGGAGAAGCCGTACAAATGCGAGGAATGTGGCAAATTCTTCAGCCAGACTTCCAACCTTGCAAGGCACTTGAGGGTTCACACCGGGGAGAAGCCTTACAAGTGTAACGAGTGTGGCAAATCCTTCAGTGTGCGTTCAAACCTAATTGCCCACCAGGTCATCCACACCGGGGAGAAACCCTACAAGTGCAGCGAGTGCGGCAAGGTCTTCAGTCAGACGTCCAGCCTGGCGATTCACCGGAGAATCCACACCGGGGAGAAGCCCTACAAGTGCAGCGAGTGCGGCAAAGCCTTTAGTTCTCATTCCAATCTAAACACCCACCAGATCATCCACCGCGGAGAAAAGCCTTACAAATGTAACGACTGTGGCAAGGTCTTCACTCAGAACTCGCACCTCGCGAACCACCAGAGAATCCACACGGGGGAGAAGCCCTACAAGTGCAATGTGTGCGGCAAGGCCTTCAGCGTGTACGCGAGCCTGACCACCCACCAGGCCATCCACACCGGGGAGAAGCCGTACAAGTGCAGCGAGTGCGGCAAGGTCTTCACCCAGAACTCGCACCTTTCAAGTCACCGGAGAATTCACACCGGGGAGAAGCCGTACAAGTGTAATAAATGCGGGAAGGCGTTCAGCGTGAGCTCCAGCCTGACGACTCATCAGTTGGTGCACACCGGGGAGAAGCCTTACACATGTAACGAGTGCGGGAAGGTCTTTGGGCGGCGTTCAAATCTTGCAAGTCATCGGAGAATTCACACTGGCCTTTTAAAGCCTTATAAATGACTGGCAAAGCTTTTGGTCTGGGTCCGCTTCTTTCACGTTAGAGAATTTAAGAAAAGCTACACATACACTGACTGGCAAACCACTCAACAAGAGGATGAGCGGTAGAGCTACCCAGAGCCGTCGGCCGACAGCTTCTGTAAGTGGGATGCGGCGGGCGCTTTGTCCCGGACGCGGTGCGAAGTACAGCGTTGGTCCTTGATGAGAGCACACGGGTGCCGTGTGTGTGCTGGAGCCCCTGTGTCTGGATTTACGGGAATGCCTTGGTCTCTGATTCTCTTAAGGTTCATCTTCCGAGTTCTCTTCCACAGAATAATTGCAAGCTACAATGTCCTCAAGTTCACGCCGTGCTGTGAAGTGTTGGCAGGCCTGGTTATCTTCAGGTAATAAAACGCTTTGCCGAGAACAGTTGTGAAACGGTAGTGCTGTGCTGCCTTCCGACCGCTGGCGATCTCTGCGGAGGACTGGAGACAGCGGAAGGCCTTCACTTCCCGCGAGCATCACCCCTGTCCGAGAAGTAGGGGAGGTTATTGTTTTTGAGGTTGAATACTTGGGAGGAGGCAGGGTCGCCTTAATGGGGTCTGCTGCCCAAGAGATGTTCTAATATCAGACCGTAAAACAGAGTATCGCAAGCCCTTCGGACGCTGGGTGTTTGTGAGGCGAGAGGAGGAAGTTAAGGACCTGATGCGATCGGGGTGGGCACATCTTCGGCCTGGTTCCTAAGCCTCCTTTGCCACACATTGGAGTCGCTGGGCTCGGTACCCAGATCTGGCTCCCGAATGCTGCTGCTCCAGGAGAGCTGCGGGCGTGGTCGGCTCCCTGCGGCGTGCGGGGCCTGGACTGAGCCCCCGCTCTGGGCCCGGCCCTGGCTGGTGCAGGGACTTGGTGAAAAAAATGAATGGATGACATCTCTTTTTTCCTCTCCTCTCCCCCACCACCCACAAATAAATTGATGGGTTTTTTTTTCTTTTTTAAGAAGCAGCATAGCATTTTTGAGGGGGCGGGGGGTTACATTTAAGTGCTGATTACATTTTGTTACTGTTACATTTTGTCTGAATGTATTATGTGATGTCTTAATAAAAATGTAATCATTATTGCTCCGAATCATATTCCTCCTGCTGCACAGTATTGTCCTGCCTCGGGAGGATGCTCACGGCAGTAACCAGCCATTTCACTGCTGCAGGATTAACTAGGTGTTGCACTTTAACAACGGGAATTCGCATCTTGATTCATCCGTTATTGGTAAGTAACTGGATGAGTCCTGTCTTAGTCTCCAATCTGGAATGGCACAACCTCCCTTATAAACGTCCAGCAACTGGGAGGTGTTCACTCGGCCCACCGATCATGGCTGGAGAGGTTGTCAGAGGCCCTGCCCCCCCACCAATTTTCCTCTTGGGTACATCTTGACTTACTGCCCACTCGTGACAGGTGTTCAGGGAAACCCATACTGTGTGTGTGGCATTTTCACCTTTTAAATACCACTTTCAACCTTCCATGTTTGTCTCTATGTGTGACAAGAGTTCAGTTAAGTAGCTCTGTCCGCGTGCCTGTCACGGGGGCCGGGGTGAGTACGGGGTCTTTGGGAGCAGTGTTGAGGGAATCTGGCATCTTTGGGGCTGTCAGCGGTTGTTTTTCAGTTGGTGGGCTTTCCTGTTTTGCCTTTGTGACATTTTTAACTTGATTTTTTTTTTAGGCAGCTGTTTCCCTGTGTTAAACTTAAGTTGGAAATTTCTTTTTATTTTAAGATTTGTTTTTATTGCAAAGGCAGATGTACAGAGAGGAGAGACAGAGGAAGATCTTCCGTCCAATGATTCACTCTCCAAGTAACCACAAAGGCCAGTGCTGTGCCGATCCGAAGCCAGGATCCAGGAACTTCCTGCAGGTCTCTGACACAGGTGCAGGCTCCCAAGGCTTTGGGCCGTCCTCGACTGCTTTCCCAGGCCGCGAGCAGGGAGCTGGTGGGAAGTGGAGCTGCCGGGATTAGAACCGGCACTCATATGAGATCCTGGCACATTCAAGGCAAGGACTTGAGCCGCTAGGTCACAGCGCTGGGCCCTAAGTTGGAAATTTCTTAAGCAGTTTTAACATTGTGCTCCCTTGGGAGTTATAAATACGTGCTATAAACGTTTCCTTGGGAAATGTTTCTGTACAGTCAGATTTTTCCCAAAGATTGATCTATGTTTAAAACAAAACTTTTTAAGCTCTTGGGAGCAAGTGTTTCTGAGGATATGCCTTGGTAGTTTTCTATGTTTTGGACCATGCTCTTAAGCACTTCTTTTAGGCCAGCTTCTTTGCAAGCGGAAGCAAGCCATTTGCTAAGTTTTCGTGGCTCTGGAATTGGCCTTTTTTCCTTCCCCGTACCTGTCCGTCGCCTCCCTCAGCCGCAAAGCTGCTCGTCCCCGGGAGCTGCGACGCCTTAGATGGGAAGCCACTTGGTGTCTTACAGTTCTTATTTGGATTCTTCTGACTCTAAGTCCTAACCTGAGCACATTTTCTAAATGTACCCATTTTTCATCAGCAAATTATGGAGGGAAATGCACTGAAATGGTTAAGTTCTCAGGACCCTCGTTTCTTTACGAATGGACTGGATTGTTTTGTTTTGAAGATCTCTGAGGAAGAGAGGGTGGTCTCCCATCCGCTGGTCCCCTCGCAGGATGGCCGTAACAGCCAGCTTACCCAGCATGAAATAATAGTGTATAGAAATGACACTAAATAAAAATGAATACCCTAAGTTTAAAAAGGAAGCCCTAACCAAGGAAATGCAATAAAAAATGAGAATCACTTCACAGCCGTCCCCATGGTTTCATTGAAAAGCAAGCTTAACAAAAGGCATTGCCCGAGAGGTGGAGAAGTTGGAACCTTCACTTAGTGGGAATGTAAAAATGGTGTGCGGCCACGGGGAATGATGCCTGTGAAGACTCAAACAGGCCAGCGAACCAGCTGTCACACCTCTGCTTTTCCAAAAGGAATGAAGTCCCTGTTACATAGACTGCACCCTGTGGCCAAGGTGCGGGGACCACATACAGCGTGCACCCGTGAGTGTGGGGGGAGCAAAACCTTGTAGAACTCAGATTTGATCCTACAGAGCTTGTGAGTAGCAAAAGACCGAAGGCCAGGCTGGCTGGTAGGAATGCATTTCTACATTTTTTAAAGATTGATTTTTATTGGAAAGGCAGATCAGATGTATGCTGAGGAGAGGCAGAAAGATCTTCCATGTGTTGGCTTCACTGCCCGAATGGAGGCAGGACTGGAGCTAAGCCGATTTGAAGCCAGGAGCTTCCGGAGCTTCTGGGTCTCCTGTTTGGGTACTCTGCTGCTTTCCCAGGCCACGAGCAGGGAGCTGGATGGGAAGTGGAGCAGCCAGAATGTAACCCAGTGCCTTTTGGGATCCCAGTGCGTGCAAGGTGAGGCCTTTAGCCACTAAGCCATAGCACCAGGCCCTATATATTGTATATATGCCCCAAAGCTGGGGAGAGAGGCAGAGATCCCTGCTGTGCACTGTGCAAGTGCCCCGACAGCGGCTGGGAACTCAAGCCACGCTTCCCGCAAGTCCAGGCAGGAGCCCCCCTGAGCCATCACTGCTGCCTCCCAGGGTCTGTGTTAGCAGGAATCTACCCACCCCAGAAGCATGGTGTGGCACGGGGCCTTCACCTCAAAACAGGCAAGTGGAGATTTTGCTTTTAGGCTGGTTTAGCTCTTGTGAGTTAGCTTGAATTATAGGTGTTGGAGACGCCTGCCTGTTCCCCCAACTCCTCTGCCTGCACGTGCGCCATTGCGAGCTGCCAGGTGGCCACGCCCCCAGAGCGGCCGGTGGCCACGCCCCCAGGGCCGCGCCCGAGCATGCGCAGTGCCCCAGTGGCGCGTCCCTCAGACGCTGGCCGGCGGCGAGTGGGACTCGCGTGTGTCCACGCAGCGTGGACTCGGGCTGACCCAGGAGTGAGGTGATGGGCCGCGCACTCGCTCGTTTGTTTTTAATAATGTCCACTCCTGGTGGGAAGACGGCGAACGTTGTTAACCTGTGTGAGGGGTCAGCCTCGGGTTAGGGGTGCTGTCCTGTGAGGGTCGTGGCTTCCCAGTCACGCGTGTCTCTGGAATCTCAGTATCAGGCGACTTTTTGTTTTCCTTTGAAAAGATTCGTGGGTCTGAATGGTGAAGTGACAGAGAGATGGGAGGGGCAAGGGCAGTCCATGAGGGTCTGCCATAGGGGCGGGAAGTGGGTTTGGCCACTGTTGGGCCGTTCCTCAGTCGGCCGCGTCTAGCCTCAGGAGTGGCCGTTTGCGTCACAAAGATCCGAACCCGGAACTCGGGTGGGGCGAGGAGAAGCCAGCTGCCCTTGGCGACCAGTCTGCGGCTGGGCACAGGCTGGGCCCTGGAGCTGGGCCTCCGTGGCTGTCCAGGCAAGCGGTGGAGCGGGGCAGAGGGGTACGCACAGGGAGCCGGGGTCCAGGCTCAGGAGAGGGATGGGAAGGGCACCGTTGGGAGAGCATCTTTTTAGTTTGTTTTGAAAGGCAGAGTTAGATCTTCCATCCCGATATTTCCCAAATGGCCACAGATGGCTGCAGCTGGACGGGTCTGAAGCCAGGAGCCTCTGGGACTCTCCCGTGGGTGCTGGGATGCAAGGAACTGGGCCACCCTCCGCTGCCTCCTAGGCGCATTCCTGGGGGAAGAGGGTGCAGTATCGGAAGTGGAGCAGCCAGGACTTGACCCTGCGTCTATATGGGGCACCAGTGCTACGGGTAGAGGCTTAATCTATACCATGGTGCCAGACACCACAGCATCTTTGCACATCCTGCATCCCTCCCCCTAGGGCCACAGAAAGCCCATAAACTGCCGCCATCCCTCCTCTAAGCCCGCCATCCCTCCTCCCGGCTGCCATCTCTCCTCCCTCTCTCCCATCCCTCCTCCCAGCTGCCATCCCTCCTCCCGCCCCTCCCCTGCAGTCGTGTATCTTGCCTCACTCCCCTCCAGTGACTTTTGGATGCCTGTTCCAGGGCTGTGAGTCACTCCTGTCAGCTCTGTCATCCATGTCTCCCTCCTCCTGCCCTTTGTCTACTCCAAATTCCTAAGTCCTCTGTAGTCAACATCCTCGGGTGCCACTGCCTTCAGCATTTCCTTGGATCTACCGTGTACTTCACGCTCGGTATCCAGAGCCCTAGGCTCCCTTCCCCTCAGCTCTGCAGCTCCCTTCATTGTCCTCTGCCCACTGAGTGTCTCAGGCTCCACCTCCTTTACCTGCACACTGCACCCGCCACAGCCCATTCGAATGGCCCCAGATCTGCCCATCCTGGCCCTGCTGTCCTACCCTGCACATTTTCATCCCGCATCTACCGATGAACTTGTTTCCACTTTTGTCCAAAGCTACGCATTGCCCTTTTCCTCCCTGTTCCCCTGACTCCTGTTCCTCCCCACCCAGATCTCAGTGTCCCTGTGCCCTTACCAGCTGTGCATATTTGGCCTCCTGCAATCTTGAAATTGGTGTTGCACTCCACCTCAAGCAGTTTGAACAGCCCTTTTCCTCTGATCCCCTGCCTCCTCTCCCTTTCTGTCCACTAGAGCCGTGTAGATTCTCTGCAACAAAACCTTAAGCTCATGCTACCCTCCTTCCCTGTGCCGCCTTCTCTTCTGTCACAGCCGCCATGCATTGTCACTCACGTTACACTCCACTGGGAAGCAATTGAGCTGATTGTTCATGATAAATTCACTGTGGGTCAGATTGATTCACATGGATCAAGCTCTGAGTCGGGTTAGACACAGACAATTATGAGAACTGAGGTGCCGGCAAAGCGGCAGGTGAGAGGGCGCTGGCGACAGGGACGGGCCTGCCAGGATGCGGTTCTCGCTGCGGCCATGCTTGCGCGGTGGTTGCTTTTCAAGGCTTCCTGGGAGCTGAGGAGGCAGGGTTATAATCAGGGCCAGTTAAAACTCTGGAAGGAACTCTTGTGGTGGGGAGGAAGCCCTAACTGGCCTCTGCAGAAGGGGGATGACCCGGCCTCTGCAGGACCTCGGAACAAGGTTAAGCAGCTCAGAGACTTGCTGCTGTCCCTCTGCCGTCTAGGCTGGCCTTCAGCCCGTCAGAGCTAACTCAGTCTCTCTTCTCTGGCTGCCCCCTTCATTTGATCCTCTGTTTTCATCATTTAATTGTAATCTTTTGAGGCTGGCATTGTGGCATAGCAGGTTCAGCAGCCACTTGCAGTGCCAGATCTCATACTGGAGCACTGGTTCAACTCCTGGCCGCTCCAGCTTCCAGTCCAACTTCCTATTATTGTGTCTGGAAAAGCAGTATGCTGTGGCCCAAGCACTGACCCCTTCCCACGCATGTGATCGACTCAGAGGCGTCCCAGGCTCCTGGCTGCAGCCTGGAACAGCTCTGGCTGTTGCAGGCATGTGGGGAGTAAGCTAGAGGACAGAAGAGGTCTCTATCCCGGTGTCTCTGTTATTCTGCCCGTTAAGTAAGCTTTTAAAAAAAATCTTCAGAAAATTCTATCATGTTTAAGCCAGCTAACTGGCTCTGTCCTCTTTTGTACTCTCAGGCCACAGGCAGGGAGCTGGATGGGAAGTGGAGCAGCTGGGACACAAACCAGCATCCATATGGGATCCTGGCACATGTAAAATGAGGACTTTAAACACCACGCTGCTGTGCTGGGCTTTTAAAGGAGATAACTACCCAATATGTAGCGTTAAATCACACTTAGAGGTTATTTTTATAAATAACAGTTGAGATGAGCCTATAACTTATTTTCCAACATAGAAGGAACATTCTTGGATTACAGGCGGAGGGAGGACTCTCGCTCGTGGCACACCAGCCATCACGCTCCTCCCGCCTGCATTGGTGCACCTTGCCCTGTGCATCCCGACAGGAGTGGAGCGGATGCTGTGCATGCGGAGCGCCTGAGCATCCCTGGGCCTGGGTAAACCCAGTCTTTTAAAGGGAACTGCTAGCAAGCCGCCACACTGTTGCTCCAGAAAGAGATCTTTCCTTGCTCGTGCAGGAGGCATGCCTCTTGGTCGGCAAGGACGGTGACATCCTCCCCATGCCAAGGCTCTTGTTTGCTCAAATAGCCAGCAAGAGACATGGTCTAGGAGAAGAGCCGTCTTAAGACATAAATGTAATAATAAACCCATGGAGAATTATGTTTTAACTATATCCATTCATTTTATCACTAATTCTGCGTCTGGCAAATTTCCCCATGTGTATGCAACTTGGTCAGAATGACGAAGGCCTCAGACCTAACCCATCCAGCTTGCCTCCAGCGACATTTAAGATTACCGACAGGAGGTTGTCCATTGGGATGAGCATAACCCTTGCTGACCTCTGTGCTCCTGTAGGTCCCACACTCAGCTGCTGAAATCCCAGTGCACATTAGGGTTTGCCTCAGAAAGGACAGTGACAGCCCTGGCGTGCTAGCCTAGTGGTTCAAGTCCTCGCCTTGCACGTACCAGGATCCTATATGGTCATCAGTTCTAATCCCAGCGGCCCCACTTCCCATCCAGCTCCCTGCCTGTGGCCTGGGAAAGCAGTGGAGGACGGCCCAAAGCCTTGGGACCCTGCGCCCACATGGGAGACTAGGAAGAAGCTCCGGCTTCTGGCTTCGGATTGGCGCAGCTCCGGCCGTTGTGGCCGCTTGGGGAGTGAATCATTGGACGGAAGATCTTCCTCTATCTCTCCTGCTCTCTGTATATCTGCCTTTCCAATAAAAATAAATGTAAATCTTTAAAAAAAAAGTAAGTTTCTCAGTTCACTGTTTCATGTTCGCACAGTGACACCCTACGGAGCAGTTTTAATGAATACCAAGAACATATTCACAAACGTGAAATGAAAATGCCAGAAAGTTCTTACTGTGTGATCTCATTTACAAACAATGGTGATTTAGCTCTGTTAGAACAGATGTCACCACAACACCTGGCAGCTGCACTGGCACAGCCAGCCCCGTGGCCCCTGGAGTGTGTGTAATACAAACAGTGACGTGCCGATGGTGACTGTCAGCCCATGCAGGGCCCGGCAGGGGAGTGTGCAAAATCCAGTGTAGCTGGAAGTGTAACGGTTCTCCCCGCCTGGGGTTCCTGGGGCCTTGTCAAGCCGTTTGCAGGAAGGGGGTGCAAGTGGACACGTCTCACAGGCTCTGTGAGGATGGAGAAAAAATATGCATTCAGAATACCTGACGTCATGTTTGTCTAAAAGTCGCTATGATCACGGGGATATGTTTAATGATGAAGTAATGGGTATGATGATGTAGTTGCAAAGCCAGCATACGGCCCTGCGTGTGCTCAGAGTCCTGAGGGCGAGGGGAGAGCTCGGGCGCCTTAGCCGGGCAGGTGCGGCTAGCTCCCGCCGCCGAGGCTCAGGTGCCGCTCTGCCGTTTTCCAGGAACGGTTGCTTGTCTTTGGTGCCAGAGTACACAGGATAGCAAACGCAATACTGGATCTTCCTGGGAAATATTTACTTACGGTTTTATTTTGTTAAGAGGCTTCTCTGACCTACACACATAATACTTATTTAGTAAGCGTTTGTCATATATTTGAAAGGTAGAGAGGAAGAAACAGAACTTGCCTCTGGTGTTAGCTCTGCGGGTGCCTGAAGCAGCTCGGTTCGCGCAGCCGCACGCAGCCGGATCTCCGTGGGAGGCTGCCGTGCGGGAACCCGGTGCCTGAGCTGCACCCTGCTGCATCCCAGGGTGAGTATTAACAGGAATCCTGGAACTGGGAGCAGAACTGGAACTCAGGCCCAGACACCCGCGCAGCACTCACAGTTTGTGAGTCACTCTGAAATCGTGTGTTTATGTCACCTTCTTTGATTTTCGTAATTATATGATGTGGACATTGACAGTCTTTGTTGTTGTTAAGTTGATGAGATCCTAGCAGTAGGGTAAATGTTTTCCCTAAATTCATGGTCAGTCCGAGGCAGTGTCCACCACGCTGACGCCAGCTGGGTTCTCACAGACCTATGTTTTGTTATAACCTGCCATTTTAATGGAATCAGGTTTTTTTCTTTTTTAAGATTGATTTATTTTTATTGGAAAGGCGGGTATATATAGAGGAGAGACAGAGAGGAAGATCTTGTGTCCGACGGTTCACTCCCTAAGTTTCCAGAACCAATAAACTGTTCCACCCACTTGGCAGGAATCCTAGGTACAACTTGGTGGGTTTACTTCGAGGGCATCTGTGATACCCGCTTGTCTGTAAGAAAGAGCAAGACGAATCCACGGGAATCCTGGGACCCTGCGTGGGACTCGTGCGTGCACGGGGGATTGTGCAGTCACATCGATGCTCTCCAACGCTGGGGCTTCCGAGTAGGGCCAGCACTGTGTCTTATTAACTAGGGAGAGTCTGGGTCCTCTTACAGCTGTGGGGCAGCACGTGAGCACAGCCTGATCGGACAGGCTCTGATATATTTTGTGGTATTTTCTCTGCTTTAAACATATAATACCGATCCAAAAAATGTTCATTTATACAATACAGAGGAACTTTCTTCCCCCCAGCATGTCTCTTATACTTTAAGTATCTTTCCCTAACAGTTAATCATTTCATTTAACCCAGATAATTAATCCAAGCATATGATCTGACATTAATAATCATTTACTCCAGCGCTGCATTAGTAGACCCCCGCTGCTTCCTGTTCCCCAGGACATGGGTCATTGTTGTTTTGCAGATAAAAGCAAATGCGCTTTTGTGTTCCCTTTTCACGTCAAGCCATCCTTGTGTTGTCTGAACCCATCGCATCATGTGGAGGGCATTGGCAACAGGAGACCACAACGTGTGCTTTTAGCTTTGGTTAAAGCTTTTTTAAAATCCATATTGCTCTGGAGAATGGGTTTTTATAAAGAAACGGAATCTTGCTGTCACAGTCATGTGAAAACAATAGGAAATAAATGCAATGCAAAATCGAATCTAAATCTGCATTGAATTTGAGGAAAATAGTTAACTTTCCATTGTAGCATGGATTAGATAGAACAATTTTGTCACCATCGCAGCTCTATGCAGTTCTCACTCTGTCCCTACCAAAGTGTGAACAACTTTCTGTGTTTTCATCTTCATAAGGAAAATAAAAGTAGGGCCTTCCTTAGACTCTTGAGGGTAAAAGGAAGTGGCTGCAAGATGGCCTCCAATGCCCATGGGTTCATCTCAAAGGTTCTTTAATGCTTCTGTGTAAAACCGTTGGACTCCTCAACAGCCTGGAAAACATACTGTTTTTCTATGTGTGAACTGTTGGAGAATATTCGACTTCAGCTGACGTGGTCCATGCTGCAGCCCACACTTTATATCCCGGTACCACACTCTGCTACTTCCCTCGCCGCCTGCTGACTGACAAGACACACTGCACGCCACCACCTTGCCTGCTTCCACGGACCAGCCCACCACACAATTGGAGAACTGTCCCTGGTGCTGAATCCCTGGGCAGGTTGGTTTTCCTTTAGGGAGAGTCCCACTCAGAGGTGAGAGCCTGGGAGGCTGCAGACCTGGCCCCCTACAGAAAGTGCAGGTGAAGGGTAATTTTAAGGCCTGAGCAGTCAAGCCCTTACCTTTCAGGATTCCATCTTGGTTGTGTTACTCAAATCTGATTGTCCCCTAAGCAAGTTGCATATGCATATTCACCTACAAATGCATCGTGTTTTTGCCATCAACTAACAGAGGCCTGGATTATTTACTTGCAAGTTAGATCTTTAAATGTATTTTTCATCCTTTTTCTCCGTGAGAAACTTAAGTTGATCTGTACTATCTTTATCTGAATTTTTTCTTTTTAATCATGGTCCTGTGTTGTGACCCAGCGGAGCCTACATGCTCATAATGATGCAGGATTCTTCTTCCTGACTCTGAGACCTCATCTTTCATCCCAGTTCCAGGATGCGGAAGCTTTTAGAGGCTCCTGCACCACTTTCAGATCAACATCGTCACAAAATCTGGGTGACATGGGAACAAGTGATGTTGTCTCTTGTAGCAATCTTGTACCCTCTTTTTTTTTTAAAAAAAAAAAAGATATTTTTTACTTATTTTAAAGGAAAAACTAGAGAGAAGAGGAAGGAAAGGTGGAGGGAGGGGAGTTGAGAAAAAGAATCTTTCATCTGCTGGCTCATCCCCCAAATGTGTACAATGACCAGGCCTGTGCCAGGCCAAAGTCAGGAGTCTGGAGCTTCATTGGGTCTCTCATGTTGGTTCAGGGGCCCAAACACTTGGGCCATCTGCTTTTTTTTTTTTTTCCCCAGACACATTAGCAAGGAGCTGGATGGGAAGTGGGGCAGCCAGGACTCCCAAGAAGAGCCCAAATAGGGTACGAGAGTCACAGGCAGTGGTTTAACTTGCTGTGCCATAGCACCAGTCCCGCTGTGTCCTGCCCTCTCCAGGACTACTGAAACACCCTAGAATTCTTCGCGGTACCATCTACAACACGTACGGAGACTCCAACTTGGGGTGAACGCTCTGTTCCTCACTCTGACCTCCTTTCCCGCCCAATCTCATTGTCAAGAAGGGTGATAGTCTGGCCTCTCCCTCCTGAGAGTCGGACCTCAAATATGTCTTCACATTGATGTTGGTTTACTGAAGTCAGAGCAGGCAGATAGCTTATGCTGGTGCCATGGCGTGGTGTTCTCTTATGTCTTGAGTTTGCCAAATGTGGACAAAAGTGACTCTTCTCTAGCAGACGCACAGGGCATCTGTGCCACGTGGGCTCTAGCTTGAGTCCGATCAGGGGACCGTTAGTGCCTTGAGGCCAAGACACCGTTGTGTGGAGTGCACTGGGGTTGGTACTGCCATGTGGAACATGGAGCGTGTGCATTCCACACGGGAGTCCCAGGCCTGCATCACAGTGGCATGGAACAGTGTGAAGGGGTCTTGGGAGCAGGGGAGAGAGAACAGGAATTTGTTCATTCCTGGCTTGATGACTGCCGCCCAGACCAGGCAAACCCATCAAGCATCCGAAGTTCTGTCCTCTCGGGGTCTTCATTTATTCCACGTTCGATGCCCTCATTGTATCAAATGTGTGTTTTGGTACAGCTCCATGACATGGTATGGACGTTCTCAGATGGGTCTCGTGTTACCTGGAGAGTGAGGTGTTGAACCCAGCCTACAGTGTGGGCAGTCCAAGGCTTTACATCAATGTTTGCCGATTTCCAGGGATTTGCACATCTCCATCCGTGCTTTCCTATATATATATTTTAATTGGCATGGACTCAGCTCTCCTAATATCCCCGGCAGAACCACACAAGGCTCAGGGAGCCATCTGCCTTCCTTAGTGACACTCCACAGCTGACGCACACTGAGGGAGACGCCTGCCAGCTCGGAGGGGAACAATTTAACCACCTCATAGTCATTATTTTCAAGTCCCTTCTTGGCCTCTTTCTGCCAGTAAAGGCTTGTAGTTCTTTTCCATGTTGTTCTTCACCAAGCCATCTTACTCTTCCGTATCCGTTGTTCCCAGTTGTGATTATTTCGGAATTAGTTCTTTTTTTCCCCCCCACCGGGTCTCCAGAAAGCCTCAGGGGCAGAGCCAAAGCCTGCAGGGGTGCGAGTGGGGGGCAAGGTCTGAGGGACACAGCCCCTGCCCGCTGGTCCGGCCCAGGACGCTCAGTCCCGTCGGGGGGCAGCTCAGTCCCGTCGGGGGGCAGCTCCTGCCCAGCCCTCGGAAGGAGGCCATGTGGCGTCCCAGGCCACCCGTCCTCTGCCCCTCCTCACCCAGGTGCTCACACCCCAAACCGCGGGGGTCGTGAATGGGTGCGGGGGGACAGGCATGAATCAGCCCAGCCCGGCTGTACTGCGCGGCGGCCAGCGGGAGGCCGGGAGGACACGGCCCGAGGAGAACCCAGACAGGCGGACGGGGCCTGGCTGGCTGGAGGCCGTGAGACGAGCTCGGGCAGCTCACCGGAGGGGAGGCCCCCAAATCCTGCATGAATACACTGGGGCCCTTCCGGCCGCCCGCACAGCGGTCCCCCATACAGAGGCCGGCCCGGCAGCCTGGTGACATCATGCGCTTCAAACCACACACGCGCAGAAGCCATTTCCGAAGCAGGCCCAGAGGCAGGGCTCGCCTCCTCCCGTCCTCGCTCCTTACTGGCCAGAAGCGCCTGCTCGTCAAGGCCGTCGTCACGGCGACGTAGGCGGGGCACAATGGCGGTCGCTAAGATACTTCGTACTTCCGCTTCCTTCTCCCGCCACCCACCCCCCTCGCCCCGCCTACGTTCTGGCAAGACTCTCCCCGTTCATTCGTCCAATGGTCAATGGGCGGTGGGCGGGACCTGACGCGTGCCGACCAACGAGACGCGGGCTCTGCCGCCCCTGCGGCGCGGCCAGGGCGCCCCCACGCCCGCCCGTCCTGCGCGCCGCCCGGCCCCGCCCTGCCCCGCTCCGCGCCCAGCGCCCGCCGCAGCCTGACAGGAACGGGACGGAGCCAAGATGGCGGCGGCCGACGGCGACGACTCGCTCTACCCGATCGCGGTGCTCATAGACGAGCTCCGCAACGAGGACGTTCAGGTCCGGAGGCTCCCGGGGACCCCGGGGACGGGGCGGGCGACCCTCGAGGAGAGCGCTCTCAGCGTTCGCTGGGGAGTGGCGGAAGGAGGGGCGGCGGCCAATCCGCGTGCCGCTCTCATCGGTGCAGCTCCCGGGATTCGATGAGACGGCGTCGTGGATTGGGTGTCCGCCTGGCGGAGGGGCGGGCGGCCGAGGCGAGCCTCGAGGGTCCCGGGCCTGCGGTGTGCGCGCGGCTGCGGGCGGAGCCGCGGCGTGGGTGCGAGCAGAGTCGCGGCGTGGGTGCGGGCAGAGTCGCGGCGTGGGTGCGGGCCGAGGGGGGCGGCGGCGGGCAGCGGCCGCGTGGCCTCCTGCGGGTCGGGGGGCGCCCGGCTGGACTGCTGGACGAGCCCGAGGCCGGCGCGGCCGTGGCCTCGGCTGGGGAGCGCCTCGGGCCGTGGACGAGGCTGGCCTTGCCCCGACCGGGTCGCGTGGACCACCGGCAGGGCCACCTCCCCCCGGCCGGCCTCTGCCGTCCATCCCGCCCGGCGTGATGACAGTCCTTGTTCCCCACAGCGGGTTCCCCGGTGTCCCAGGAAGGGAGCTGGCGTCTCTGAAAGGGCCCAATAAAAATGTTGGCTGTAATTACTGGGAGTGATGAGTGAGGGCTCCCAGTTTCCCTTTTGTGAACGGCTTTCCTTGCCCTGGGGTCCCGGTAGAGCCGTGCGGTTCTGGGCTCGGCCAGCTGTGGCTGCGCTCCTGGCGGCTTCACCCGGGCGGGTCTGCCTTGCGCCCTGCTGTGCGACCTCAGCAGACACCTGCTGTGCGGCAGGGCAGTGCGGGCTGTCGGGCTCCGTCCCTGGGCAGCGTGCCCAGCACGTGCGGGGGGCCCTGTGACCCACCGAGCGCCTGGGGCCTCTGGGCATGGGGCTGGGCGGCCGGCAGGACACACCGGGCTGAAGGCAGGAGCCAGGCGTGCCAGCTGGGTCTCCCCCGTGGCTGGCAGGGACTCAGGTGCCTGCGCCACATTGCCTGCTTTGCCAGGAGCATTCGCAGGGAGCTGGCTGGGAAGTGGAGCAGCGGGAATCGTGGGAGGCTGGCATCGCGGGTGGTGGCCTGCTATGCCACAGTTCTGGCCTCCCTGAGGACTGAATTTTGAGGGGGTACTGGAAGGTTCTAGAAAAAAAGGGATACACAGCAGCAGTAGTTACTAACGCAGGGCGACTTTGGCAGTTCCTGGAGGCACTTCTGCCTGTCGCACTGGAAGGCCGCCTTGGGCATCTTGTGTAGCGGTCAGCCATGCCGACCGTCCTGTAGCGCCACAGCTGAAGTCTCCCCTCGGGGCACTTTCTTGTGGAAGCAGTGACAAATAAACTTGTACCACATAGAGGCCGGTGGATGGCCGTTAGTGCTGCGGAGAAAATCGAAGTGAGGGGTGGGCGTGGGGAAGTCTCCAGAGTGGCACACAATTTTAAATAGAATGCCTTGGGGCTGGCGTGGGCTCAACAGCTAATTTTCTGCCTGCTGTGCCAGCAGGGCGCCTGTTCCCATCCAGCTCCCTGCCTTTGTCCTGGGAAAGCAGTGGAGGACCACCCAGGGCCTTGGGCTGTGCCCCACGTGGGAGACCCGGAAGGAGCCCCAGCTCCTGGCTTTGGATCGGCCCAGCTCCAGCTGTTGTGGCTGTTCGGGGAGTGAGCCAGTGGATGGAAGGTCTTTTGTCTCTTCTATCTGTAAATCTGCCTTTCAGATAAAAAATGTTGTTTTAAAATAGGATGTCTTACAGAGAAGACAAGCTTGACTTGAGGGCTGAAGGCAGTGACAGGCCCGATTCCTGGGGGACGGCCTCCCGAGCACAAGCCCGGGAAGGAGCAGCTGCTGCCCGAGGCCCTGCACCTGCTTTCCCGAGTGCAGCTGTTAGCATCTGGTAACGGGAGGTAGACCCATCCGTTTGTGTGCTGAAAAACCCCAGGCGAGTGGTTCTCACCTGGAATGCTGGGTGCTCCCCGGCAGGTGAGACGTGCCAGCCCGGTGCGGTGCCGTGCCAAGGCGTCAAGGCGTGGTACCCATGATCCTGCTGATGGCTGGCACCTGCCCTTGGAGGCCGGCCTTGTGAGGACCCATGTTGCCCAGGGAGGAGACTGAAGCACGCTAAGGGTAGATAAAGTGGGCCAAGCACAGGAGCGTGGCGGGAATACCAAAGGAAGTAGGGCAGAATGGTGTGTGGGCTGACCCAGCCCTTGCTGATGGTCCGCAGGCCAGCTTGTGTGTGTGAGCAGACAGTTCAACGTGCGGGGAGGCCTGTCCTCCTGACTGACTGGCTCAGCAGGGCCTCGCCCAGTTCCTTCTCTGTGCCAGGCCGTGTCTATGCTGAAGATGCAGCAGGCACAGCTGGCAAGGCTGCCCATCTTAGGAGGCATGCCCAGCTGGGATGTGAGGTCAGTGGCAGCAGCTGCTAAGGAGAAAACCGAGGCAATGAAGCAAGGCTACTGAGGGAAGGCTCCTCGGAGGAAGCGGTTCCAGGTGGAAGGGAGATTGGGTGCAGAGGCCGTGGGGAGCGGGCAGAGCGAAGGCAAAGCCGTGGGAGTGAGGACCGTGGTCCTGGCAGGTCGGTGGGGTCCTGGCAAGGCTGAGCATTGGGCCGGCTCTGGAGGAGTCTTCTGTGTCTTAGGTAGGAGGCCCGTGGGTGGAGGACGCAGGCTGGGCAGGCGGGCGGGCTGGTGGGCTGCAGTGCAGCGCCCAGTCTGTTCCCCTGGGCCGGGGCGGCCGGCCAGCCCCTGGGACCCACCGCCTCCTCTGCATCTGTCGGTTTGTGACGATCGGTGAGTGACTGGCCAAGTCGGCCATGGTCATGGCTCCCCACCTGGTCCTTGGGGATGAGGGGAGCACGTGGTGCGGCTGCGGATGGTCCCGCTGTCAGGTGTGTGGGGCAGTGCGCTGCGCTGGCCCGGCTGGCTCGCAGGGTTAGTGTCCAGGCTCTTGTCCAGTGGGGGTCACTGGATGAGCAGCAGTGGAGGATGTTGGGGGTACGGGGGAGTGTCGGAGGGGTGGTCTGCAGTCAGGTTAAAGCAGGAGGCCTCCTGGCCAGGGCCTCGAGGTACCCAGGAGCGGTGCTGGCCTGGGGTCATTTTGCGCACACAGCCTTCCCCCCAAACTGCAGTGAGTCTGCGGGAGGAGTGCCGCTGGCTGTGGGAGGGAGGCCCTTGGTGGGCAGCGTGCTGCAGCGCTCAGGGTGCCCCCAACAAAGAGTTATCCAGTGCCAGGGCCGAGAGACCCCGCTGTGGGCTGCGTGGTGGCCCTGGGTGTCCCCCAGGGCCGAAGACCCCGCTGTGTGCTGCGCAGTGTCCCCCAGGGCCGAGAGACCCCCCTGTGGGCTGTGCGGTGTCCCTCAGGGCCGAGAGACCCCGCTGTGGGCGGTGCACTGTCCCATTCCTTATGTTGCCTGCTCCTCACAGGAGGGGTCTGGCATGGGTCTGCATTTCTTCCCAGCAGTGTTTTAAAAGACGTGTTTGAAAGCAGAGTTGGACAGAGAGGCCTGTGTGCTGGTTCACTCCCAGATGGCCGCAGTGGCCAGGGCAGAGCAGGCCAGGCGGAAGCCGGGAGCTCCGTTCAGGTCTCCTCCGGGTGCAGGGCCCATACGCATGCTGCTTTCCTGGTGCGGGGTGGCAGCTGGGGCAGCGGGGAGGCGGCTGGGGCAGCGGGGTGGCACCTGGGGCTCCTGGGGTGTGGTGTTGTAAGGCCAGCCCCCACTGATTAACAAATTTTTATTTTTTTTATTTTTTATTTTTTTTTATTGGAAAGGCGGATATACAGAGAGGAGAGACAGAGAGGAAGATCTTCCGTCCGATGATTCACTCCCCAAGTGAGCGCAACGGCCCGATGCTATGCCGGTCTGAAGCCAGGAGCCTCTTCTAGGTCTCCCACGCGGGTGCAGGGTCCCAAAGCTTTGGGCCGTCCTTGACTGCTTTCCCAGGCCACAGGCAGGGAGCTGGAAGGGAAGCGGGGCTGCTGGGATAGAACCGGTGCCCATATGGGATCCCGGGCGTGCAAGGCGAGGACCTTAACCACTTGCGCCACCACGCCGGGCCCTGATTAACAAATTAATCGTCACATTTCAGATGCAGCGAAGTAGAGACGTTAGTATCTGAGCCCAGATTTTGCCACGTTGGTTCCATGTGCTGTGCCCTTGCCCCGCGTGCCGCTTCTCTCCCGGGGAGTTGCTAAGGCCGGTCCGTCTGCGGCGTTGCCGCATTGTAGACGTGCGCTTCTGAAGCAGCAGACGTTTCTAGAACTGTGTCTATTCTCACACCTCAGTCAGCCTCAGGTCCTTTCCCTAAGCGTTGCTCAGGTGTCCTTTCACTAGATCTTCCGTCTGAAATGCAAGGCTCTTGGGCAGTGTCACACAGCCTAGTGACTGGTGAGGCCAGGCGGGCACGGTGGAGCCAGGGGCACAGTGGTCCTTGCTGAGCCGCAGCCCCCAGGACACGGACTGGGCGGAGGTGACCAGGACCGGGCAGTCCCTGGGCTGGAGGCCGCCAGGGCTTGGCTCCTGGTCACTTGACGAGTGACCAACCCTTGTGGGCCTTGACTTTCTTATGGATGAAGGGTGGGAAGCATTCCCAGGACGGCTTTAAGAATTAAACAATGCAGGGCTCAACGTAGTAGCCTAGTGGCTTGCCTGGCATGCATATATCCCATGTGGGTGCCGGTTCTAATCTAGGCAGCTCCATTTCCCATCCAGCTGTCTGGCCTGGGAAAGCAGTTGGACAGCCCAAAGCCTTGGGAGCCTGCACCCGCGTGGGAGACCCCAAAGAAGCTCCAGGCTTTGGTCGGTTCAGCCCCAGCCATTGCAGCCGCTTGGGGAGTGAACCAGCGGATGGAAGATCTTCCTCTCTCTCTCCTCCTCTCTGTAGATCTGTCTTTCCAATAAAAATGAAATCTTTAAAAAAATTAAGCAAGGCAGACTAGACAGTGGGCCACAACCCTCGAAACATCTGGGCGAGGCCTGCAGCATCACCCCGCTGCCTCTGCGCAGCCACAATGTGAAGTTGAGTCAGTTGGTTAGATGGTGCTGTGCGGCCAATGAAGAGTGTTCTAGAAACCCAGATGGCTCTTGGCAGCACTCGGGTTGCCCGTCCTGGCGCAGACATTGCAGCAACCCCTGGTGTGTCTGAGAACCGCGGCGTCCTGCCCGGCCTCTGTGGAGTGTGTGGGGAGTCACGGCGGGCTGCCTTGGGGGGCACCTGCGCAGGACCAAGCTCACCCGTGCTGCGCGTGCGCTGCCTGGCCTGTGTGCCTGACTCGGCCTCACCGTCCTCATCTGCAAACTGAGCACAGAGCGCTGTGTGCCTCTTACGCTGATGTAAGCACACAGTCAGCCCACGCCAAGTCAGAGCTGGGTTTTTTAAGATTTTTTTTTTAAGATTTATTTATTCATTGGAAAGTCAGATATACAGAGAGGAGGAGAGACAGAGAGGAAGATCTTCCATCCGATGATTCACTCCCCAAGTGAGTGCAACGGTCAGTGCTGTGCTGATCCGGAGCCAGGAGGCTTTAGGCCGTCCTCGACTGCTTTCCCTGGCCGCAGGTAGAGTTGGATGGGAAGTGGAGCTGCCGGGATTAGAACCGGCGCCCATATGGGATCCCGGTGCGTTCAAGGCGAGGACTTTAGCCACTAGGCCACTGTGCCGGGCCCCAGAGCTGAGTTTTAAGACCTGTGTGGTGGGCGGGTGTTCTCCCACGTGGGTGTGAACTGTGAAGTGGCCGGGTGAACCAGCAGATGGAAGACTTTTCTGTGTCTCCATCTCTGTAAATCTGTCTTTCCAATAAAAATAAATACATCTTAAAAAATACACAGAAAAGCTACGTGAGAAATAGTGGCTGACACTGGAGTGCTGTGTGCTGGGCTCTGCCTGCCCGCAGCCCTCCAGCGCCCTCCCCGTGGTGTAGGAGGCCGTGGGTGCTCTGAGGTCCGGGACTTCCTGGGACCCTTGGCTAAGAGCCGGCGACTCCGGTGCTCTAACGACCTCAGCAGGGGGGACCACTCACAGTGCCCGCCTTTCCTGCAGTCTCCCGGGCACAGGTTCTTTTTGTTACAAATTTGGTCGTTCATGGAGCAAGCAGGACGGAAGTGCAGGCTGCAGGGCTTCGGAGGGCACGGTGAGACCGTGGGTGCTGAGCGGCTGCCACGGGGGTGACAGCCATCCAGCCCGGGCTCCTGTGAAACGGGAACATGGGGGGGGGCGTGTCTCCAGGTGCTATTGTTCTTTGTGTATACTAATAACCAACTGTGGGTTCCATGAAAAGAAAAACATCACGGCGCACTCTTGGCCAGGTGCTTGGCTCCGCGCTGGATGCTGTCCTCCGCGTGGGAGGAGGCCTGTTGGCCTGTGATCTAGGTAGAGGGGAAGCAGAGAGCAGAACGGTGCGTGTTGGGGAGCGCTGGGACAGGTGGGGCACCCGGGTGGCACGTGCTGATGGCGGAGCAGACCTGAGCCTCCGGGGAAGAGGCCCGAGGAGCACACAGCCAGGGTGAGACTTGCTGGACAGAGTGGGTGCTCTGGTGTCCGTTCACTGTCAAGGAGAGCCTGTTACAGGGACCCGGAGCAAGGATTTGCTCACAGGGCCAGAGCAGCACGGGCCTCGAGGGCCCGAGTGAGGCCTTTGGCTTATGCTGTGGCTGTGTGCCGCCACCTGTGTGTGCACCGGAGAAGGCTCTGCAGGGGGCTGGAGGCGACCGCCCCTTCTGTGAGTCCTCATTACCAGGCTGTGTGCAGTGGTCTGGAGTGGCGAGCAGCTCCGGGAGGGCCAAGGTGCCGTCTGAACTCTGCAGTAGGCTCTTGCAAGTGCTGGGCGGGCGCCTGTTTGGGAGACTGCACAGGGTCATTTGGGGACGTGACAGGATCGGGGCAGTGGTGTTGCGCTCTGTCGCACTGGGTCTAGCAGGAGTGTCAGAAAAGCCCAGGAGTCGTTCAGACAAGCCTTTCCTGGCAAGCTCAGCGAGCAGCTGAGCCGTCTCACAAACTGGGTCAGGGCACACTCCGTTTCTGACCCGCTTTGTCCTCTGCTGTCCTCGGGAGCGCCCGTGAGCGCAGGGCTGGTCCTCGTCCTTGACCGCCTCATCAAGGAGGACAGTCTTCCCTGGAAGCGCCTGCGCACGTGGATCTGGACAGCTCTGTAGAAGTAGGTCAGATGCTGAGTGAGTCGGGGTTAAGGTTGGTTGTAAATAGCCAAAGGTTTATTACTGGCTGATGATCCAGGCTGCTGTGACACTCGGGTTGGGGTGCAAGGCTCTTACCCTTGTACTTGGCATGCACCTCCTGCATCACCTGTAACCTCAAGGCTGCAAGGTGGCTGCTGAAGCTGCAGCCATTATGACCCCTTTCCAGACAGGAAGTGAGAGGTGCCCCATCTCACCACAAGGATATTCAGAAGTCATGTGTCACATTTCCATTTGGGCCTCCGAGTCACATCCAGGTGAGAAGGGGTTTGGAGGTGTCTTCTGGGGGTCGTGGACACAGCCGAGCAGGGGTTGTGAACAGCAGCACTGCCCGCTGTAACAGCTCTCAGTCCAGTTCCTGGCTGCGTGGGGAAAACAGCTCCTTGAACGTCGCGACTGTGGAGCTTCCCTTCCAGTGTGAGGTCTAGGCCGCGGGAACGGATTAGAAACAGCAAGGGCAGTGGCCAGTGGGGTGCAGCCCGGCCTACTGCCTAGGTCCCCTGTGGCTGAGTCCCTGCTGCCAGAGAAGGCGGGTCACCAGGACAGAGGCCGTGGCGTCAGCACGGCGGACTGCCCGCCAGCGTGCTGAGCGCCTGTGCGCCCGCTGTCAGGGTGTCAGTCCGCAGTAGGCTGTGTAGACTGCGGAGTGAGCGTGCTGCCTGCCCAGGGTCTCGCGCTCCGGGAAGTTCAGAAGCCCAGTGCTGCTGCGTGAAGGTGCTGCTGTGCGGTGAGGCTGTGGCCCTCCACGCCCTGCAGGCTCGCAGGCCTCCCCGAGCCGGGCGGGGGGGTCCCGGCAGAGCTTGGTCCCCGGAGGGGCAGCAGGCCCCCTCACAAGGGTCTCTTCTTGCCACTCTGCCCCCAGGCCCGCCTGGCCTTGCTCGACAGCTGGGTGCTGGCATGCCGGCATTGGCAGACCAGGGGCTCAGGATGCTGCAGGCCGAGCGACCTGCGCGCCGCAGGCTCCCTCCGAGCCGCCCTTGGCCATGGCCGCCCTGAGCCTCCGTGTCCTCCCGGGATGCCGGCGGTGCTGTGCTCCCTGGGGCCAGAGGACCGGTGGGGACCCCCGTCTGATGGTTCAGTCCTGCAGCGCAGCTTCTGCCAGACGACACCCTCGTGCTCCCGCTGCTGAGTCAGGTGTCGGGGGGCTTCCCTTGAGGGCCTGGGGACGCCCTGTGCCCCCCTCTGCTGCCGGGGGCTGCTGCAGTGAAGTGCGTCGCTCTGGTTTCTGCTTCATCTTGACGTGGTCTCCCTGTTAGTATCTGTCGTTGACATTTCTGCCTTTTTTTTTTTTTTAAAGACTTATTTATTTTTATTGGAAAGGCAGATATGCAGAGAGGAGGAAAGACAGAGAGGAAGATCTTCCGTCCGATGATTCACTCCCCAAGTGGCCGGAATTGAGCCGATCCAAAACCAGGAACCTCCCCAAGGTCTCCCACATGGGTGCAGGGTCCCCAGGCTTCAGGCCGTCCTCAGCTGCTTTCCCAGACCGCAGGCAGGGAGCTGGATGGGAAGCAGGACTGCTGGGATTAGAACCAGTGCTCATATGTTATCCAGGCATCTGCAAGGCGAGGACTTGAGCCACTAGGCTACCACACTGGGCCCCATTTTTGCCTCTTAAAGGGGCACTGTTTGGGGGCCAAGCGCCAGCCCTCAGTTCAGCATGGCCTTGTAGTGAATGCAGCTGGACTTTCCATTCTTGTGTCCCAGGACTGGGCTGTGTCTCAGATGTCCCCGTTCAGCCTGATGTGTGGAATCCTTCGTTCCTGCTGCGGAGCCAATCCCATTTTACGGAGAGGCTGTGCTGGCATTGTTTGCTCTTTGACAATCACTGTGAGCTCCGGGCTGCATATCCTTGATCTATGCCATCTGGACTCTGTGACCCTGAGGACACTTTGTCCCCGTCCGTGAGAACAGCCCTCGGAGCGAAGGCCAGCCCTGCTGGGGCATTGGCCGAGGACTGCGTGAGCTCAGGGTGTGAGTGCCTCAGCTGGCACCGGCTGAGCCTCCTGCAGATGTGGCTGCTGTAAAGCGCAGTGCACAGCAGGCAATGTGGTGCAGGCTGCAAGAGGAGGCCGGGGAGGGTAGGTCTGACCAAGGCTCTTGGCACCTGCAGCTGTGTGACCAAGGAGGCTGTGGTTACTGCTGTGCTTTGGTCGGCATTAGCTAGTGCTGTGGGCCGCAGGTGGCAGGTGTGTGCAGTGTGCCTCATGCCGTGGTGTGTGCAGGTGGCAGGTGTGTGCAGTGTGCCTCATGCCATGGTGTGTCGCAGGTGGCAGGTGTGTGCAGTGTGCCTCATGCCGTGGTGTGTGCAGGTGGCAGGTGTGTGCAGTGTGCCTCATGCCGTGGTGTGTCGCAGGTGGCAGGTGTGTGCAGTGCGCCTCATGCCGTGGTGTGTGGCAGGTGTGTGCAGTGTGCCTTGTGCTGTGGGTCGCAGGTGGCAGGTGTGTGCAGTGTATTGTTAAGCACCTTCATACACACCTGGCCAGGTTCCGAGGCGCTAGCTCATCCATGGATGTGGGAACTCCCTGCGTGTGTGGTTTCTAATGAGTCGCTTTTTTTGTTCGCTTAACAGCTCCGCCTCAACAGCATCAAGAAGCTGTCCACCATTGCGCTGGCCCTCGGGGTGGAGAGGACCCGCACTGAACTCCTGCCCTTCCTCACAGGTAACGCCATGACTCCTGGAGTCCGCTGTGGGTGTCACAGCTGTTCCCCAGTGTCTGCCCCGTGCCACACATGATGGGACTGGGGGTCCAGGTGCTGTCCCGTGGGAGGCAGGCACTGACGATGGACTGGGGGTCCAGGTGCTGTCCGTGGGAGGCAGGCGTTGTTGATGGACTGGCGGCTAGAGAGGCCAGCGGCTTCTGTCACGCGGAGGATTGGGTGGGTTTGGGGAGAAAGGCCTCAGGGTCGGGCTGGAGGGTCCTTTGTGCTCCTGTCACGCTGGTTGCTGCGGACAGGAACCAGGGCTCGGGTTGAGGTGGCACGGCGGGAGAGATGGCCTGGGTGTGCCGAGCACCTGGGGTGGTTAAAAGGGGCCTGGACAGATGCCAGTGTGTGCCAGGAGGAAGAGCCAGCAGCTCCTGGCCGAGGGTGCCTGTAGACACACACCAGTCCCCTCACGCTCTGCCTTTGCTGCGTGTGGGCGCGTGTGCCACTCACCAAGACCTGGTCCTCGTTTCCAGACGGAAGGAGCCGGCTGTAGAGCAGTGCCGTCACTCACCCGTGACGTGGGGACTGGGACCTGGTCCTGGGACCAGGCATGTGCGTGGGTCTCTGGGTTGCCCAGCTGGAGGCGGGGCAGTGGGAGCTGCAGGGCTGCCCTCAGGCTGGCCGTGGCGCTGTAACGGAGTCTCTGTTCCACAGACACCATCTACGACGAGGATGAGGTGCTGCTGGCCCTGGCGGAGCAGCTGGGCACCTTCACCACCCTGGTGGGAGGCCCCGAGTATGTGCACTGCCTCCTGGTGAGTCTGACTTGTCAGGGACATTTTGCGTCCATCCTCGTGTCCCCTCCACCCAGGGTCAGACCTGTCCTCGCATCCCCTCCGCCTGTCCTTGTGTCCCCTCTACTTGTCCTCATGTCCCTTCCTGCTGGGGTCAGACCTGTCCTCCTGTCCCCTTCGCATACCCTAATGTCCTCTCCACCTGTCCTCATGTCCCCTGTGCCCGGGGTTGGACCCGGGTCCTGTCACAGGGCCTTGGACATCACCTTAACAGGCCAGTCGGCAGTGACACTCAACTGCAGCCGTGATCCGTGCTCCTGACTGCACCTGCCCGGCGCTCCCTGCCCACAGGCGGGCTGTAGTTGGCATTAGGCTGGCCTTTTCCAGTTACTTACCCTCTGTGCTGCACGTTCCCATTGTGATGGAGGGGCACGCTGAGCGCTGACTGAAGGCAGCTGTGACGTGTCATGCCCATCCATGGCTGTCAGTGCTCTCCAGGGCGTGGGGGCGAGTGACTCATCGAGGCCATGGCACTGGGAAGTGACACGGCAGGGATTTCACGTCCGTCCCTTTGCCTTTGCCCCAGCCCCACCCCGCTGCCTGCCTCCGTGTCCCTGTGCCAGGGGACGCCTGGGACACACGGGGGTCACGTGTGAGCAGTGGCTGCTCTGGAGTAGAGGAGAGCTCCCGTTTTCATCCAGGCCGCGCTCTGGTCTTGTGACCCGAGAAGGCCGTGACGATGGCCCCGTCCTTGGTGTTTAGTGAGGCCGCGGCACCCTGCGCGCCCAGCAGCTGCGTTTGGGCGGTTAGCAGTGCCTGGCCCCGCTGCCTGCCTGCTGTGTGAAATAGCACTGCTATCTGCAGGGGCTGGGATGTTGGCTTCAGGCAAATAGGGCGGTATCCTTCCCCACAGCATCAAGTGTAAAAAGCTCGATAATTCCCATTGGATTCTGCTTTCTGTGTTTGCATGTGCATGTCTGTGTAGTCTCTGTCCACACCAGGTTCCATTGTTTCAGACACTGATGGCAGACGAGGCGCGGGGGGCTCTGGATCAGCCCGAGGGGGTCTGCTGCAGCAGCTGAGCTGCCCTGCGCTTGCCCGACCTTCTGAGGAGGAAGTGTGTAGCAGCTCACTGCGGAAGGCATTGCCTAGTGCCTTAGGGCCCCGACAGGGAGCCAGGGCCAGCATGCGGGCACACCAGGAGCCCACAGCGGTATAGAAGCTGGGCACCCATCCTCATTCGTGAGGGGAACCCTGGCTAGCCTATACTTGCCTTTGGGAAACACTCCCTTGTGACCTCTGGGGACGCACAGTGAGCCCTCGGTGAGCCAGGCAATGATGGAAAGCTGCTCCCATTGCAGGAGCCTCGCAGACAGCTGTGTGCCGGCTGCCCGTTCCATGGGTGAGGCTGGCTGAACTGCTGGAGCCAGGACGAGCGGAGTCCCGGGCTGCCCTGCTTCGTCACTGCTGTGTGCTCAGAGCGCTCGGATACCGCCCAGGCTGAGCGGGGCCCACGCCCCTGAGGAGCTGCTCGAGACCCAGGGGAGCTGGTGTTTCCCCTGGTGTTTGACGGGCCAGTGGGAGATGGCCACTGTGCAGTTGTTAAGGTCTCCAGGCTGGAGGAGCCGGGCCGTGCCGGTCCTGTTCCCGGCCTTCTCTGCCGTGTGGACGAGCCTGCAGCTCCAGTCGCTTCTGCCGGAAACTCCCCCTGGGAACCTCCTGGCGCCGCAGACCCTGCTCTCCCAGCCGTGTGGAGGACTCGCGCCTTCCTGGCTCCGGGGTGGGACTTCACACCCACCCCGGGGTGGCAGAGGCCTCGGAGCCCCACGTGGCTGATGTTGGGTCCCTGCCGGGAGGGGTGGTCCTGGGTGGTCCAGGGACCACACTTGGGGAAGTGCTGCCTGCAGTGCTCCACAGACTAAGTGCAGCTCAGCCGCCCCGTGATCGAGTCCGCCCAGCCCAGGAGCTGGGGAGAGGTGAAGCCCGTGGCCACCGCAGCCTGTCGAGCCCACAGCATGCGCTCTGCTCCCGCGCCTGAGCTCCCGGCGCCGCGCTGTGGGCTCGCGCCTTGCACAGGCCTGTTCAGTCCTGGAGTCACTTATTCCTACACTTTTAAAAAGTTTTCAAATAAATTCTTTATCATGCCCTCCCCCGCTCCAGGCCCTGACAGTAAACCCAGTGCCCACTGCCCGCCCGTGTCCCCCCAGGCCCTGCTCACTAGCACTGTGCTCCCTGTGGCCGTGAGCATTCCAAGAACCTCCTGCAGCAGAATCTGACGATAGCCATCCTTTGGTGACTTCACCCCCACTCGGCACCTGCTGATGACCACATCGCTTGGGGCTGGGCAGGATGAAGCCTGGACTTTGGAACTGTCCGGGTGTGCCATGGGGTGTGGAGCCCAGGTCCCTGGACCGTCTCCACTGCCTCTGCAGGTCACTGTCAGTGGAGCAGCTGGGACTGGGTCGCAGGCAGGTGCTTAGCCTGCCACAGAGCCACCCCGTCTCCCTAGTGGGATGTTTCTACTCTACCCTGCAGTGCGTGTTGAACGAGGTTTTCAGGTTAGGACCGGGCTTACTTTGCTGCTTCTGGAAGACAGACTTTGCTTTTTACAGCGGCTCCTGTGACAGCAGTTGGTGGGCCTGAAAGCAGCCGTCCTCCATGGCCCGGTGCCCTGCGGGTCACGTGGTCCCTGCCTCTGTCATGCCTGCTCTATTGTCGCATGCATGGCTCCACCTGTCCCGGCCGGACGCCAAGGCATTTTCATTGTGGTTTTTTTTTTCTGGCTTCAATATGTACGCAGCCAAGTTGAATTTCAGACCAGAGACCTTCGTAACTTTAGTTGTGCTAGGAGCCCTGGTGGGCTTTGTGGGACAGTGGGGAGCCACTCAGATGTCACGGAGGGAGCGCAACCCCACCAGGCCCTCGGTAGCACGCCAGTAAGTAGTTACCCAGCACCCCTTCTTGCCATGAGCCGGTAGGTCTGTGCGCCTCTGAGCCTGGTGGCCTGGCTTTAGATCCCCGCCGCGGCTGGTCCCTGGCTTGGCCAGGCCACCTGGCTTGTCGGCACTTGCTTTTCTCTTCCTTAAAATGAGGGCAGTGACAGGACCTGCAGCATAAGCTCCTGAGCTAAAGCAAGCACCCCAGTGTGGGGTGACAGTGACACTGATGTGCAGTGTGATGAGCCTGGGACGGAGCTCAGGTGAAGCGTGGTGGGCACCCATGGAAGGCTTGGGGTCCACAGGGAGATGAGCCCGGGTCGGGGCTCAGGTGAAGCGTGGCGGGGAGAGGGAGGATGGTGTGGTGAGAGTGGTCGTCCTGTGTTCTCACAGCCCCCGCTGGAGTCGCTGGCCACGGTGGAGGAGACGGTGGTGCGGGACAAGGCGGTGGAGTCCTTGCGGGCCATCTCACACGAGCACTCGCCCTCTGACCTGGAGGCCCACTTTGTGCCTCTGGTGAAGAGACTGGCGGGGGGCGACTGGTTCACCTCCCGCACTTCTGCCTGTGGCCTCTTCTCCGTCTGCTACCCCCGCGTGTCCAGCGCTGTCAAGGCAGAGCTGCGACAGTGAGTGTCCCTACCCCTTGAAGCCCCTGGCAGCCCCTTCCCCCTCTGAGCCTGGCTCCCCTGCCCTAGAGCTCTCCCAGCTCCCACCCCACCTCCCGGTCCCCGTGCCTCGGAGTCTCTGAGGTCGGACAGAATCTGGCATGGAAAACACTCGGCCAGCGATGAGGAGGCCTTGCCCGTGTCCCCAGGCCCTGCAGCCTTGTTCCAGAGCGTCTGCTTGCTTCGCCACCTCCCTTAGCCCGCCTGTGTCTGCTTGAAGAGCGAGCCTCTCGGCCGAGTCAGGCCAGCATTCTGGTCGGGCCATTTTCCCGTTTTCCTGGGGTTGGCATGTGCTACCACTGCCCTTGTTCCCTGCTGCCTTGGGATTCCCGGGTTCTCCCCCTCATTGCACTCCTCAACCTCCAGGTATTTCCGCAACCTGTGCTCAGACGACACCCCGATGGTGCGGCGGGCCGCAGCCTCCAAGCTGGGGGAGTTTGCCAAGGTGCTGGAGCTGGACAACGTCAAGAGCGAGATCATCCCCATGTTCTCCAACCTGGCCTCCGACGAGCAGGTGCGTTCTCCCTGCTCCTGCCCGGGGGCCCAGAGCTCGGCAGGGCCTCTGCTGCCCTCCTGGCGCCCTGACCCTCTCCCCAGGACTCGGTACGGCTGCTGGCGGTGGAGGCGTGTGTGAACATCGCCCAGCTCCTGCCCCAGGAAGATCTGGAGGCCTTGGTGATGCCCACCCTGCGCCAGGCTGCCGAGGACAAGTCTTGGCGTGTCCGCTACATGGTGGCAGACAAGTTCACGGAGGTGAGCGAGGGGAAGGGGCAGGGCTGCAGATCAGGACGGGGTGCTGAGCCAAGACTCCCTGCCCACCCAGGCTGACTTAGGTGACAGCTGAAGTTGCTGTCGGGACTGACTCATGCCCTGCGAGGAGGTGCCAGTGAGTGGAGAGGGCACTGGAATCTGTGCAGTGTCCCTGCTGTCTTCTTGCAGAAAGGAGGCGGAGGTCCCGGGGCCAGGGTGCAGCATGCCTTCTGCAGGGACAGGTCAGCTTAGTGCAGTGTCCCAGGGGTGTGGGCAGGGCACGATGGTGGGGTGTGCTGCACCTCCGTGCGGGTTCACTAGGTCTTGGAGTAGTTTGCAAAGACAGGCACTTGGGGGTCCTGCGCCAGTGCTGGGAACCAGCACACGGTCTGCACTGCCCAAGGTAACCTGCGGCCCTTGTTGGTACTGCCTGTCTGCCGGTGGCTCTTCAGCAGCCAGGTGTGCACAGAGCCCTGTGTGCTTTCCGCACCTGCGTCCCTGAGACGGGCAGGCTCTCGGGCCTTCTGCCTCCCCGGCGGTGTGTAGTGTGCAGCTTGGACATTCCTTACCCACAGTGCGCGGGACCAGGGTAGTTCGGATTTCAGAAGGTTTTTTTTTTTTAAAGATTTATTTATTTATTGGAAAGTCAGGTATACAGAGAGGAGGAGAGACAGAGAGGAAGTTCTTCCGTCCGATGATTCACTCCCCAAGTGAGTGCAATGGCCGGTGCCGAGCCGATCTAAAGCCATGAGCCAGGAACTTCCTCCGGGTCTCCCACACGGTGCAGGGTCCCAAGGCTTTGGGCCGTCCTCGACTGCTTTCCCAGGCCACAGGCAGGGAGCTGGATGGGAAGTGGAGCTGCCGGGATTAGAACTGGTGCCCATATGGGATCCCGGTGCGTTCAAGGCAAGGACTTTAGCCGCTAGGCCACGCTGCCGGGCCCTGGATTTCAGAATGCTTTCAGGTTTTGGCATATTTACGCATCCGCAGTGACGTGTCTTGTGGATGGGGACCGCTAAGTACTAAATCCTTGTGTGTTGTACACAGTGCCAGACGGTCATTAGTATACCTGCGTATCAACTACAGCCTGTCAAATGAGGTCATGTGTGGACTTTGCTACGTGTATGAAAAAAAATTGTGAATTTTGCAACATTTTGCGTTTTGGAATTAGGGTTATTCAAGTTACACACAGTTCTGGTAACCAATCTTAAAGAATTAGGAACCATCTGCTTCCGATCTTAGCTTCCCACTAAGGCGCCTGGGAGGTAGCCGGTGATAGCCCAGGTACTTGGGTCCCTCTCTGCACATGCAAAGCCGGGTAGAGTTCCTGGCACCTGGCTTTGACCTGACCGAAGCCCAGCTCGTGGACACAGCTGCAGAGTAAGCCAGCAGGTGGAAGGTCCTCCCGCCCTCCCTCGCTCCCTCCCCCTCTCTGGTTTTTCCTCTTATACCTGTCACTTTGCCTCTCTAGTAAAGTTTTGTTTGTTTGTTTTTTCCCAAAAGGAATCAAGGAATCACTGTATCGTTAGGAATTGTTTCTAAAGCTTGTAGCAACCACCACCACAACAGTCCCCGCAGTAGCTCGCCAAAGACGCTCTGCTGTTGCTCTGTAGGCCGAGCAGGTTGAGGTGGGGGCAGGCGGGTGGCTCTCATTTTGCTTTAGAGGAAGCGGGAATGAGGAGCGTTGCCTGGGGTCCCAGCACAGCCCTGGCAGAGCGCTCTGATTCCCGGGCCCTGCTCCGGCCTCTGGTGCAGGTGCCTGTGCTGACGCTGGCCTCCCACTCCACTTCTCCTTGTGCAGCTCCAGAAAGCAGTGGGGCCTGAGATCACCAAGACAGACCTGGTCCCTGCCTTCCAGAACCTGATGAAGGACTGTGAGGCTGAGGTGAGGGCCGCAGCCTCCCACAAGGTCAAAGGTTGGTGCTGGCAAGCAGAACACAGCAAGTTGGGGGGCTCTGAGGGGCTGCGGGGCAGGGCGCTGGTTTTCACACCCCCTCTCGCTTCCTGCCCCCCGCGCAGAGTTCTGTGAAAACCTCTCTGCCGACTGCCGGGAGAGCGTGATCATGACCCAGATCTTGCCCTGCATTAAGGTAACGGGGAAGGCGGGGGAGGAACCTGCCAAGAGGACTGGGTAGAGGTGGGGCTTGGGGACAGGTGCGGACTAGGGTCCCAGCCTTGGGGACCAGGCGGCTCTGGGGCGAAGCTCCTGCGGTTGACTGCAGGCCGAGCCGAGCCTGGGGGTGACCGGGGTTGCTGTTGCAGTTGAGAACCTTCCCCCGAGAGCTCCGAGTCTCCTCAGCCACAGGACTTGGGGATTGGGGTGAGGGCTGCTGGGAGCGGGGGTCGTTTGACTCCACATCAGTGGGGCACGGGGGCTAAACCTCCCCGAGGCAGGCTCACCTGTGAGAGTGAGCAGGATGCGAGCAGGCTGTTGTCTCGGGCTTCTTGGAATTGGTGTCTTCAGAGGTTTCCCGGGGTCCCCCTTCTCCCAGGAGCTGGTGTCCGACGCCAACCAGCACGTCAAGTCAGCCCTGGCCTCCGTGATCATGGGCCTCTCGCCCATCTTGGGCAAGGACAACACCATCGAGCACCTCCTGCCCCTCTTCCTGGCTCAGCTGAAGGACGAGGTAAGGGGCAGGAGGGGCCAGCTCTGGGTTGGCAGGGGCGGCAGGAAGGCTGGCCGCGTGCTCGGCCTGGGGTTCTTCACGTCTCCTGGCTCAGAGACGGCGTGTCTTCTCGGCAGAGCTCACTCATTCATCGTGCCCTGTTTCATGTGTTCTCTTGGGCCGTAGGGATGTGAAACAAAGGGTAAAATATTCTGATTTTAGTATATGTGCTGCCAAAACAAGCACAAAATATTCTTATTAAATATTATCAAGTATTGAAAAGAATAAAGATCTGAAGAAACTGAGTCAGAGACAGCAGTGGGCCCAGCAGAACTGAGTCAGAGACAGCAGTGGGCCGGCAGACGGGCGGTCCGGGGCCGTGCAGGTGCCGCCGGGCTGCGAGGGTGGATTTAGGCTGAGGGTACAGGAAATCTCAAAGTTGAGTGTCTTAAGTACATAAAATAGAAGGTGGTTCTGGGTAGCCCTGGTGGTCCTGAACTGGCTCACGCTGTTCCTTTACTCTGAGGGATGGCCCTGGTGGCGTGCTCTCTCCAGCCCCCAGAAAGGCAGGCGGCACACGGCAGCGGCTGCTCCTGCCGAGACCAGGCATGGCAGCGACCACCCCACGTCCCCACTGGGCACAGTTAGTCACACGTTTTTCTAGTGATGCTGTAAGATTTAAAAGTTGCTGCATTTCGCCACATGGCTTGCTGCCTGTGTCCCCGGGGCCAGGAGCTGGGTTTGGCAGTGGGAGGCCTGGGAAGATGTTCTTTATGAAGCCGATGCTCTTGAGCTCTGGCGACCTTGTCTGAGTCCTGTTGTCCTCTCCCTAGTGCCCCGAGGTGCGACTGAACATCATCTCCAACCTGGACTGCGTGAACGAGGTCATCGGCATCCGGCAGCTGTCCCAGTCCCTGCTGCCCGCCATCGTGGAGCTGGCCGAGGACGCCAAGTGGCGAGTGCGGCTGGCCATCATTGAGTACATGCCCCTGCTCGCCGGGCAGCTGGTGAGTGAGGAGGCCAGAGCAGTGCAGGTGTCCACTCCCTGCCAGCTGCCCCAGGACACTCCAGTTAGAGAAACGGGCCCCTCAGGCATGCGGTCTTTCTGGGGTGGGTTTGATCTTTGGGGTGTTGCCGGCAGCTCTTCCTGCTCGCTGTCCGTTGAGCCCTGACCTCCTTTGCTCCTGCAGGGAGTGGAGTTCTTCGATGAGAAACTCAACTCTCTGTGCATGGCCTGGCTCGTGGACCACGGTGAGGACCTCCGGGAGGGCGCGAAGAGATGGGCGCGTGGGCACAGGGACAGCCTGCCCACGCCGGGGCTCGCGTGGACCTGCTGCTGGGATTCATAGACGTGCAGAGGAGGGCGGAGATTTGATAGATCGTCCGGGGCTGTCGGATAACGGAGCGTGGCAGGGCCACCCGGCAGGCCGACTTTGGCTCAGAAGCCCGCCTTCCTGTCTGGCAAAGCTTAAGCAAGTCACTTGGCAGTCTTGTAGCCCCGTACTCACTCGGTCCCGATCTGCTAGGGCTTTTGTCTTGTGTAAGAATTCCCCATCGTCAAGTGAACATTTATGCAGGGATGGATGTATTGGACTGAAGCACTGAATTGTTTGGGCAGATCAGCTTTCGGAGCCTCGGCTTGCTCATCGTAGAAAGATGCTGAACTTTTCTCTAGCAGCACTTGAGAGATAAAAGCCGCTTTCAGATGCAGCACATAATGAGCCCCGTTTCCTGTCTGCCTGAGTTTGTTGGCCCGCTCCGGCCCCAGTGGGAGGTGATAGGATGGCCACTGCCCCTGCCCGTGACAGTCACTCACCTCAGACCCCTCTCTGTGCAGTCTATGCCATCCGTGAAGCGGCCACCAGCAACCTGAAGAAGCTGGTGGAGAAGTTTGGGAAGGAGTGGGCCCATGCCACCATCATCCCCAAGGTCTTGGCCATGTCTGGAGACCCCAACTACTTGCACCGCATGACAACACTCTTCTGTATCAATGTGAGCTTCGTTGTCCGCAGCTGGCCTTGAATGGCTGGCATGCTGGGAGAGAGGCATGGAGGGGGCCCCAAGGGAAGATCCCTGATGGGAAAGTGCAGAGATCTGGGGGGGCCTTAGGGACCCTGAGGCTGAGGGCCTGTGTGCTGAGGACCTGGGTGAGGGATAGCGCCTGTGAGGCTGAGGCTGTGGGTGCTGAGGCCTTGGGAGCTGAGGCAGAGGGCCTGTGTGCTGAGGCCCTGGGTGAGGGAGAGGCCCTGTGTGCTGAGGCCCTGGGTGCTGAGGCCCTGGGTGGGGGTAAGCCCTGGGTGCTGAGACCCTGGGTGGGGGGTAAGCCCTGGGTGAGGAGGCCCTGGGTGAGGGGTAAGCCCTGGGTGCTGAGGCCCTGGGTGGGGGTAGGCCCTGGGTGCTGAGACCCTGGGTGGGGGGTAGGCCCTGGGTGAGGAGGCCTGACTTGTCTGAGTACTCATTGGCAGTGTTTTTGAGAACCCTACTCCTTTGCTGCGGAGTAATGCAGATGTGTTTGTTTTTGGTGGAGTGGTTCTGGGTCTGGACTGTAGGGTTCTAGTCCTGCCATTTGTTGCCCTACAGCATAATGCTGCTGTTTTCTCCTGTGTAAATAATTCCTTCGCATAATCACAGTGCCCGACTTCTCAGGCTGTGAGGATTTATCTTCGATTCGAAGGAAAATATTTAAGAATATAGTTGTGTTCTCCAATAAGCTTTCTGCTTGTCACAATTTTGAGAACTCAGAACTAAGAAGAGATGCTAGGATTAAGATTCTCAGACTGTCCCCAGAGGGTAAAGGGATATTGAAAGGCAGACCGGGACATCCCAGAATGCAGGCTTGGTGTCACAGGCATTGGGCTTCTCAGGATGAGCCAGCTGTCCCTGGGTGGGTGAGCGGGTGGGTCAGAGTCACCCATGACCTTGGCGTGCTCATGCTGCCTCTCCCGGCCCCCAGGTGCTGTCTGAGGTCTGTGGACAGGACATCACCACCAAGCACATGCTGCCCACCGTCCTGCGTATGGCCGGGGACCCAGTTGCCAATGTCCGCTTCAATGTGGCCAAGTCCCTACAGAAGATCGGGCCCATCCTGGACAACAGGTGGGGCTGCACGCGCCTCACACGCGGTGGGGAGAGGCCTTTTCTGAGCAGCTTGGTCATGACCTAGTCCCTTCCACCTCTGAACTTTGCTTTCTCATCTGCCGAGTGTAAATTCATGTGACCAGCCTCCCGGAACAGAATGGAAGGGGGCGTTTCTGTACAGTAGCAGCAGTCCGCATGTGTGTATATAAGGACGTAGGTGTATGTATGTGAACAGGTTGCATGTCTTTCTAAAAGTACTTCAAGAAGCTAGTGGAAAGCGGAATTAAAACTATTTTGATGCAGAAAAGTTGAAATCCGTACGACTTTCCCAGACTTTTTGAAGTCCCCTTGCCAACAGCAGGCTCCACTGTGACGGTGGTCGTATGGCTGAAAGTGACTCCGTCAGCTTCCCGCCTTTGGGAGAAATGACCTTTCCACTAGATGACGACATTTGGAGAATAAGGTGGCAAAGCCCTGTCTGAGAGGTAGTATTTCAGTATCTTGTTTTTGTTAAAGGACTCAATGAAAATATTTGTGTAAAAATAGATAAAACAGAAAACCTTGGAAAAGATGAGCAGAGACAGATGGTTGCTGGGCAGCCAGTAAGCCTTGCCGGGCCTGAGCATCACTGTCCTTCAGGAAGATGGAGGCAGAAGCTGGGAGCGGTGTGATCGCACACCGGCCAGCCTGGCTCCGCGCACACTGGAGGGCTCTGGGAAGGACATGGAGCAGCTGGAACCATCCCTGCAGCGGCTGTGGACCTTATATGACTTATTAAAACTGGGCTTATTTTCTGTCCAGTGGTCACCTCCGCTGTGGTCACCTGCTCTGTGGTCGTAAGATGGGAACAACTTGTGTTAGTGCTTAGATACTGTAACGGCGTACTTGGGACAGGCTGCTTTTGCTCACAAGGAGGTTGATGGAGCTCACAGGTGTGCAAGCTGGAAGGCCAAATGGCGTGATGCAGGGCCTGTGGAAGGGCTGAAGGGCTGTGCTGAGGTCGTGTGTCCTCACGGCGCGGTAATGGTGACAAGTAGTGGTGCAGAGGAGAGGGGAGGACCAGATTTGCTCCTTTTGTAATTACTGCCTAGTGGAAACTACAGAGGAGCTCAACTGGAGAAAACCTCCTGCTGCCAGTGAGCCCGAGACGCCTCTCCAACCGCCACGGTTCTACTCCCTCCTGTCAGGGCCGTGCTGGGGTCCGCGTCTAATCCTGGCATAACCCAGATATCTGCCAGTGTCAGTTGAATCAGATTTATTCATATAGCAGAAAACAGTTTAGCAACAAAAAAGTAGATGTTTGCTATAAACAACAGGCCTCTCACTTGATAATGAGAAGCCAGACCTGAGGAAACACGCTACTGTGTCCAAATAAAAAACTTGCCAACTGCTCCTGCTATTGTGATGGAACAGGCTGATGCCTGCAATGCTAACATCCCATATGAGCACCGGTTCAAGTCCCGGCTGCTCCACCTGCTTATGGCCTGGGCAAGCAGCAGAGGATGGGCCAAGTCCTGGGGCCCCTGCACCCCATATGGGAGACCCGGAATAAGCTCCAGGCCCCGCTCTGGCTGTTTTGGCCATTTTGGGAGTGAGTCTGGATGGAAGTTCTCCCCCTCTCTCCGCCTTTCAAATAAATGTTTAGAAAGCATCTACATGACTAAGGCTACACGTGAGAGCCGTGGTTACGTGGAGGGCGGAGGAGCTGCCCGTCAGCCTGCGGGGACACATGCATGCCCCAGAACTTCCGCTCTGGCCCTTTGGCCTCCTGGTCCAAGCTCCACATTGGCGAGAACGGAGTCAGTTTTCCACGTTCATGTCTCCTACACGGGAGACCCAGGTCAAAAGCAAAACTGAAGGCCGGCCATCCATTTGTTCAGCCACAGAAACATGGATGCCGTGGACCACTTTGTCCGGCTGCTCCCCCCCTCGCTGCTGTGGAGCCCCACTGTGCTGTCCTGTTTGTCACAGTTCCTGTCATTTGTGCAGATGGCCTCAGAGGCTTCTCACTGGGGTGTGTGTCTGGAGCCTCTCCCTCCTTGGCTTTGCTGTTCCTGTCTGTTCCCACCTTCTTGGCCTCTGCCCGTTGCTCTGACTCACTGTCGTCTTTCCCTTCTCTCTCTAGCACTCTGCAGAGCGAAGTCAAGCCCATCCTGGAGAAGTTGACCCAGGACCAGGACGTGGACGTGAAGTACTTTGCCCAGGAGGCTCTGACTGGTAAGGCCTTGAGCGCTCAGTGGTCCCACTCAGCAGGGGTGGTCTGCATCAGCAGACCTGGCAGAGGGGCCCGCAGTGCTGAGTCCTGCTCATCCCGTCTCCGCAGTTCTGTCTCTCGCCTGATGCTGGAAGAGGAGCCACCATCGGCCTCTGGTGTCCACCCTCCAGCCCCCTCATGTCGCTCCCTCGGGGAGACTGGCGGGGGCCTTTGGCTGTCCTTCCCTGTGCATGGTCTGCCCCAGGCCCACCCCCAGCACGGTTCCTCTCTCCCCAGCCTGGGAAGGCTCCCCCCTGTCCATCTCCCAAGGGACTGGGGGAGCGCAAGGTTGGGTAGGGCAGCAGCCCCAAGGAAAGGGGCTCTTCCCACACACAGCCGTGGGGGAAGCCAGCGTTGCGGCTCACTGGCCCCTGCTGCCGTGACGGGCTCTCCCCTGCTCCACTTCCTGTTCCTTCTGCCTCTTGGTGGTTTGTTTGTGTCAGTTGTGCCGTTTTTATTTTATTCCTTTTTTTCCCCTTTTCACAGAGAAATAAAGATCTAGAAATAGTGATCTGGTCTTGGTCGTCAGTTTGGGATGGCAGTGGGGGTTTGCACCATCTCAGGGCAGCTGTCTGCCAGAGTGGGCATCTCTGAGGTCCACGGAGAGTGTGGCTGCGAGGTGCATGATCCGTGAGGTGGGGCTGGCTCTGGGTCTTGTGCTGCCCCAGGCTCTGTTTTGCGGGCATTGGCCTGAGTGATTGGCGTTAAGAGCAGACTGGGTCAGAACGTGATTCCTTCAGTTAGTAGCTGAGTGATTTTGAGTAGGTTACCTGGGTCTTTTTGAGCTCAGGTGTGTACCCCGCCAAGTGGGGATTACAGCAGGGGCGAGATAGAAGGGCTGGCTGTGTGTCAGGACTTGTACGCGGTAGCTGCTGGTCACCAGAGAATGTACTTGGGTGTCCTCTGCGACCTTGTCTCAGGGCTGCAGCAGGGAGCAGTGATAGGGACAGGAAGCCAGGCAGCACGGTCAGCCACAGCCTCTGTTCTCCCTTTCTGAATGTGGGACTGCCTGAGTTCAGGATGCTTCCCAATGTCATGCAAGATGTGGAGCCGTGGTATGTGCAGGCAGAGGGGCGGCATCGTCTTCCTTCCTGTGCTCTGAAATGTAGACCAGATGGCTGTCATGAGTGCCGGGGAGCTATCTCAGACCGGAAGATGGTCTTGGCAGTAGAGGCCAGGCAAGGCGGAAGTGCCTCACTGAAGGAGCCTGGGTCCCTGGCCACGCCAGGATTGGTCACATGGTGGCGTGACAGGTTTCATCACTTGAAAGTCGCCTGGATGCATATCGATGCAGGGAAGGGCCCAGAGCTTTCAGAGGTGTTGCCTCAGTTACTTCTAGAATACCTTGCTGTTGTAGAACAGTAAAAACTGAAGTCCAGTACACAGTATGGAAAGATGGGAGCTCAGTGACCAGTAACTTCCTGGGCTATTTGGAGCCACAGAGGGGGAAACCTTAGGTTTAGCTCTTTGTCCAACATGTACCGATCAAGATACTGGATTTCAAATCAGGTGAGAGACTTTCCCTCCTTTTGTGCCTTGAAGGACATTGTTCCTCAGCCTGTGACCCCAAGGGGAAGAGGAGGAGGAAAGGGCTGGAGAGGGGTGTGCCTGAGTCTGGGGAAGGGGCTGCAGACGAGGCCCAATTCCTGTCTAGGCTGGATCCTGAAAACAGTCAAGATTCTTGAGCTTCTCGTATTGTCAGGCTACACGAGGCGAGAGCGGACAGTAACAGGTGGGTTGTCCCTTGGGACTCAGTGTGCAGCTGGAGGAAGCCCCAAGAGTTGTACAGATGGTCCCCCCAGGCCTTGGGATGGCCAATAAGGAACGAGTAAGCCTCTGGTTTGCTCTGAGTGGCCACTACACTTAGGGACTACAACGACTGCCCAGCGGCAAGTGACCAAGCTGTCCAGAGGTGTTCGGTTATTTTGTAAATGTTTCCAATACCTTGACTTGCTCCTTGGGGATCCGCAGATTGGCAGTTCTTGTGACTGGCATTAGGTGCTCCTGGATAGCAAGGCCAAGGCGAGAGGCGAGGAAAGTCCACTTGCCTCTCCGTTTGCAGGCCTCTGATGGACAGAGCCAGAAGCCCTGCCAGGTGGCTCTCCAGGGGAGAAAGTGGAGTGGAACTTGGTAGACCACTGCCTGCTGGAGTAGAGATTTAGGGGTGAAAATCACAACCAGTAAGGGCAAATTGGAGATTAAGAACTCTCCTAGGTGGCCATACGTACTTAGGATTGGAATGAGGGCCCGTTGGTGAGTTAATGGAGACTGGAGGTGGTGGAGCAGATAGGACCGCAGTGGGGGCAGACAGGCTAGTGGATCCCAGAGGTGGGTCAAGTCCAGTGCAGAGTGACGGGTTGAGGGGGAGGCATGCCCATCAACAGTGAGAGCTGATTGGGTCCAGTGTGAGTGGACTCTGAGGATGTAATCTTGCTAGGAACATGCGGTCCAGTAGGGAGGGCGAGTATGACGGAAGTGGCAGGTACGGGAAGCAGTGAGAGGGTGGGATCCTGTGCTCAGGAGGCCAGTGTCAGACAAGATGTGTAGGTTCTTTAGGGACATGTGGAGAGTGGCATCTTCCCGCAATGGCCTGAAGAACGGAAACTGAGGCACCTCTTGACCCTAGCAGAGAGCTGGAGGAGTTGGAGCCAGGGACGCCACGGCAGGAGGAGAGTAGGGACAGTGAGCGGCAGGGACCACTGTCCGCGTCACCCCTTGTGTGCTGCCACTTTGGCTCTTCTCCAGTCTGTTTGCTGTAGGTTCTCCCTGTCATGGCATGCCAGCGTGGGAAAGGCAGTAAATGAAACAGAAGGAAGATACTTACGCAAGGCAAAGGCAGGACTTTACTGATTGTGTTTCAAGCAAGCTGTATGAGCGTGGTGAAGGTGGAAAGCTGGCATCGTGCAGTCTCACGAGCTGGACTCGGCCCCGGGGATGAGGGGCAGGTTGGTCTGTCCAGTGAATTACCCTGTAGGATCCCAGGTGAGTCTCTCGACAGCTGTGAGTTCTTCTTATGAGGATTCTGAAGTTTGAAGAAAGGACCTGGAAATTGTGCCTGTAGAACGACCAAGCACTTCCCATTGTGTCTCCAGCTGCTCCCGAGGGACAGCCTCCATTATGTTTCCATTTCCATGAAACTGGGATGGAAGTGACCAGGGACAAATAAAAAATAAATTTGCAGACGTGAGATTTTAAAAAGCCATACGTTTAACAGTTCATGTTGTATGAGTCCAGTTTTCTAAAGTACAAAAGAGATGAAATGATAGTGTTAGAATTCGTGATATTTCTGTTCACTTGAGGGTGGTGACAAAAAGAGGCCGTGATGATGATATTCTACATTTGGGGGAGTCAGTTTCACGAAGAGACTATTCAAATGAGTTCCCCAACATGTGAATCCACCAGCTTACAGGATATAAAATCAATATGAAAAAGCCAGCATATTCATATACCAACAATGATCTCACCAAGAAAGACTGAGTAACAACCATCCCATTTGCAATAGCTACAAAAGAAAATACTGGATTAAATTTAACCAAGGTTGTGGAAGACTTGTACAATGAAAATTGTATACTAATGAAGCAAATTGAGGAAGAGCTCCCAGATTGAAAACACTTCTTATTTTCATGAATGGGAAAAATTAAAATCTTTTTAACATTTCTTTTTAAAGATTTATTTTTATTGGAAGGACAGATTTACAGAGAGGAGGAGAGACAGAGAGAAAGATTTTCCATCCACAGGTTCACTCCCCAGGTGGCCACGACGGCCAAAGCTGAGCTGCTCCCACTCCAGGAGCCTCTTCTGGGTCTCCCACATGGGAGGGTCCAAGGCTTTGGGCTGTCTTCCACTGCTTTCCCAGGCCACAGGCAAGGAGCTGGATGGGAAGTGGGGCTGCCGGGATTAGAACCAGCACCCACATGGGATCCCAGCAAGTTCAAGGCAAGGACTTTAGCTGTTAGGCCACGATGCTGGGCTCAGGAAGAATATTGAAAGGCCCATATCACCTAAAGTGATTTATGGATTCAATGCAACATACATCAAGATACTATTGACATTCTTCACTATGAGAAAAACAGTTGTAAAATTCTTTGGCAAAACAGAAGATCTCCACAGTCAAACAAGCAGCATTATACAAGATTCCAGGACAAGCTACAGAGACCTCACAACCAAGATACGATAAGGGGCTGTCATAAAAACAGTCGCTTAGACCAGTAGAGCCCCAGAAATAAATCCATACGTATGTAAGCAACTGACCCAGGCACTAAACAAAAACAAAAGCTTTTCGGCAAAAGGACATTCACTTCCTATCAGTATGGGCACCAAGGACTGTATCCCAACAGCCAAGGAAATCACAGGGAGTTGGAGTGCCCTCGCAGGAAGAGAACTCTGAGGTCAACATTCCTTATGGTTTCTCCCACACGGGATGGAAGAAGCCCAGAACCTTCCTCACAGTGTCTAATGACATCGTAACAACAGCAGGAGCCCTGAGTGCACCTCAGAAATAGTCAACTTCCTTCAGGACTTGGGAGAGGAGCTTTCTCTGGTCCTTACTTAGCTCCAACTTTGGCTCCACACCCTCTCTTGCAATGACCATCAGGGTCTCTCCGGAGCCCCCAAAATTAGATCAGATATCATAGACCAATAAGGAAAGCTTAGAACAGACAAGAAAAAGTCAGCTTGGACTCCTATATACCTAACTAGGCGGGACACAAAGATCAGTTACTTCTCACTAAGGTTTTGAAGATTTCTCTGCACACCCCTCCTAAAACTGTTCTGCTCTTCAGTCATTAACATATGGCTTGGTAGAGTTATAAGCCTGTTCGGACTAGCCTAAAATCCATGAAGCTCAGTAAAAATCACTCTTGAATACCATAAGCTGCTAAATATAAATATGAAGAAAAAAGACGCAAGACAGCTGGATAGTACCGTATAACCATTTTAAGGTTTATAGCAGTCGGTTATTTATAAACTAAAATTGAGATGGCAATGAAGTAGTCACAGGATGTGGTTAAGAACTTGCATTTTCTAACACATTGGTCACTCAGTACCATGTCAATTGACTTCATGATGTAAATTTTCATGTTTCTTCCTGTTGTTGAATTTGTGTTGTGGCTTTTCATTGGAGGGGATGATATTCTGCCAGCTCTACTTTCAGACCAAGGATGGTTTCCCAATGAAACTGTTGAATTTATCTGTACAATAAGATGCTGCTGGACTCCCTGCATGGTCCATGCCGCAATGGTGGAATTATGACTGGTTATGAGCAGTACCACTGTAATAGCATGAAGGAAATCAGTATGGGATGAGGGCTTGGGGAGGGGCTGGGGGAATCCCAGAGCCTATGGAACTGTCATAAACAAACAAAAAGGCATTCACTTCAATAAGTGCAGTTGGGTGGGATGAAATTACCCTGAAAGAAGATAAATGAGAAATACCACACCTTTGTTCTCATGTGATACGTAAAGTAAAAAAAGCGTTGATGCATTACTACTCAACTGCTTTCCCAG